ACTAACCTTCTAGCAAGTGGGCAATCACAACAGTCATAACAGCCACATCCTTTGGCTTAGGTCAGACTACATTCTTCTTAGATCAAATACAGATTCTTGAAATCTGTATTTGAGTCGCAGAACTTTGATTAAGTTAGCATGATTGACTGAATTATGAAATCTATAGAATTCCACCATTTGAAGTGGGATAAATTTTTTAAATGTGGTTATTGTTGTATCAGTCAGAATAATGCAATGTCTTGATTGAGAAAAAAAAACAACTGTTGCTTTTGTATATAGGCACTTTTAGTACTTATCCGAAATGTGCTTTGCCTTCCTATTTCTCAGTGTCATATTTTTATATACAAAAATCTTTTAAGGCTTCTTAGTCTAACTGGAATTTTTATCTGATGAGATCGGGACCGTTCAGGATGGTATGTCAGTAGATTAAATGGATTTTTTAAAAAGATTGCTCCTTAATCCTTAGAATCTTAAGGCATATTTAAATGGCAAGTTGTCACTTAGCCAATTAACTAATAATTCAGAATATGTAAATAATATATGTCATTAGAACAGAATAAAGTTCTTATTTATTTTGTCACCAATATTGTGCAACCTAAATGGACTAATAAAATATTTTGTTTATTATAAGCTCTTTCATAGTCATAACAAGGAGAAAGAATAAAGCTGAAGGTAGTACAAGATAGAAAATAAAAATATTTTCCAAACTTATTATGGAATGTGTATTCAAACTTAACAGTTAATTATGACTATATGTGAGTGGGATTTTAAACAAAATATTACAGAAAAAAATATGTAAAAATATAATGCAGTGATTAGGTAGAAATGACATGAAATCAAAGATATACGTTAATAAATTCTCTCATTTCACAAATATTTATACAGTTTTACCATGAGACTTGGCTGATATTGGCTGTGTTAGTTGAAAACGGTCATTTGCTTCTCTAGGCTTTAGTTTTCTCATGTGACTATTAAAGAAATTGGACCAAGTAGTTTCTAAAAACCTTTCCAACTTTTATCATTCCATTAAACTGATTCTTAATTACTAGGAAATCAACTAGTTTCTCCATATTGCCCCATTTTCTAATTTCTCCATTCCAGACACCCAGCATCTCAGCTTAACAGCTTTTGTGAAGCTTTACTGGGACAAAAGATTTTAAAAGACTTTCATGAAAACAATGAAAAAATTATTTGTCTCATTTAAATAGCATTTATTATGGAAACCCATTTGACAATAAATTATATTTAAAAAATAACATTTATTATTTAAATAGCATTATTAAGTGACACCTTGGTGGCTCAGTCAGTTAAGCATCCTAGTCTTAATTTTGGCTCAGGTCATGATCTCATGATGGACATGGAGCCTGCTTGAGATTCTCTCTCTTCCTCTCCCTCTGCCTCCCACTAAATTAAATAAATAAATAAATAAAACAAGCAAACAAATAAATAACATTGTTGAAAACAAAGCATTTCACCTAACTTTCTGGCTGACACCTATTTTATTGAATACCGCAGTTTCTTTAACATTCTTTTTACATTGCTAAACCATACTATATGCTTTAATACCTCTTAAAAATGAAAGTATTAATTAGCACATCAGGTTTTTTTTTTTCACTTTCTTGAAGATATAAAACCACCTTCCTATTATACAAGGGATCCTTCAGGGCCAATTCAGTTCTGAAGGTTCTTACTGAGGATTCATTGGTGGCAAATGATAGAAACTCAACTCAAACTATCAAGGACTTCCATTAGCTTACCTATAACTGAAAAGGAGCTGCTGCCTCTTAAATCAACAAAGTGATTATTAATTTGGGGCTTTCCTTTTCTCTCCTTCCATATTAAGGATCTCCTTTGCTCTGTGGTCACTTCATTCTCTGGAAGGCTTTTCTGTATGTCACAAAGATTGTCAATAGTGAGTCTGGGCTTAGCAACCCCAACAGAAAGAAAGCTTTCTCAGTGGTTCCAGTGAACACCTTAAAGTTGACTTTCACTGGCCAGGTATGGATCACCTGTGCGTGCCTAAAACAATCAGTATGACTGGGGAAGAAGTTCCCTCATTTACCAGGCCTGTCCTCAGCTCCAGAGCACTGGTAGAATATGGTGATAAGGAAGTTGACAAAGACATGAGTCTCCCATAAGCCACATGGATGGATACTAGAGGAGGTGTGGATTCCACAAAAGAAAATTAGTATGCTGTTACCAAAAAGGTTGGGGGGGGGGGAGGGGAGATGTTTGGCAGGCCAAAACTACAAATAAGGAAAAATTATATATCTCCACATTTTATAGCCTTAAATTGCTATCTTTCCATCTCCTTCCTGTCAGCTGTCACTTAGGCTGCTTTCAGTGTGCCTCTATCACTGTTTCTTCCTATATTTAACTTATAACATCTTTTCTCCTGAGGGTTTGGAAACCAGATGAGGAGAATCATTTGAATTGTTTTCAAAGTAAGAGTGAACTCTGAGTGAGGACTTGAGAGCTTCTCTATAAGAAGTATAAACTTTCTACTTTGTAATGGATTTCATGATATATCTAATCCCCTCTGAAACATCATTTTTGTGTGTTTTCTCATTTCTTTGCCAAGGCTCAATGACTATGAACAGTAAGTGCCATAAACATGGTTGCTATTATAAATAGCCATTTATTCTTGCTGGTTATTTACAAATATTTTTCATAAATCACAGAATAGGCTGAGTTTAGGAATTTGATAAAGGAGACGATTCTAGTGACATGGTGCAAGAGTTCCGATACAATTCTACTAATGAGACAAGTGAAGAAATGACAGTGGCGAGTGTAACGTCCATCTTATCAAGAAGTTGGCCTTGAAAGAAAGAGGTAAAGGGCATCATCAAAGAAAATCAGTGAGATTAAGTAGTAAATTCTTTAACTTGGGACTGGGGGAGACCTTATCTTGTTTAATAAGGAAAGCAAAAAGAATCTTAGAGATTTATGTTAAGTAGGGAGAAGGAACATGAGTGGATCATAACCAACAGGATTGAATGCTTACCAGGTACATGGTTGAAACCACTCTTATCTCCATATTATAAATAATTAGTTACAAAGAGGCTAAGAAGTTTGGTATATGATAGAACTAGACTACAGACCCAGCTTTATCCAACTCCAGACTCAGCAGATCACCGCTTACTATATGAGGGGGTTATTCTCTACATAGAGTGAAGAGTAAGTGCCATGGTTTGGGATATGATATTCTAGCTCTCCCGCTTCATTTCCCACCTCAGCCTTCCACCTCATGCTCCAACAAAGTTTCCCCTTACATCCCACTGGCTTCCGTGCTTCCATACCTTCAAGACAAGGGTTCTCTGAACCCAACATTTTTCCTATCAAAATGCCATTCTTTCTCATTATGAGTCTAAATTTTAGAATAAGTGTATAAATTTTAAAAATTATATCTACATATATACACACATCTGTCATAATATGTACATTAATTTATTATATATAACATATTATAAAAACCAAACTGAAGGTTTTTTTGAGATGTCACTCTGGCCAACATTGTATTTTGTGAGGAAGAAAAATGGTAGTGGTGGTGATAGTGACGGTAGTAGTGGTGGAAAAGATATAATTTTCTTGGGAATATTAAATGCAAACATCCTGGCACCTTTTTAAACAGAAAAATATTCCTTGAGGCAGGGATCTGGTCTAATTAATCCTTATCTTTATAGTCTAGCATAGTGTGTGGCACATATTAGACACTCAAATGTGTTTTTTTAGATTTTCCCTTCTCTCACATAATTTTCCCTTTGCTTCTACCAGAGTTTGTAGTTCATGCCTCTATTATAACATCATTATACTTGTTGCATTAGGAGTAAGTTTGATTACTAGTAAAAAGAACACTTGACTAACAGTAGCTTCAACAGTTAACTTGAAGCTTGGCCTCTAAGACTGATGGAGCAATTTAGGGATATTGTCAAGGAACCAGCTCCTTCTATCTTAATTTTCTACTCTCCTTAGTATTGGGCTTTCTCTTCTCATGGTTGAGAGATGGGCACTGGCCCTCCTGGTAGTGTGTCTACACTCTAGGAAGAAGACAGAGAAATGTTAGAGAAAAGAATAAAAGTATGATCTTCTAAAGGCCTTGCCTTATAGTCTTATAGGAATTAAAGCCTTCCCCAGGGACTCTCACTTATATCTCATTATACAGAACTGTGACACATGGCTACCTATAATTACAGAAGTGGCCAGGAATTGGAGTATTTGGCTGTTCAGCCTATATAGCATGAGAAGCCAAGGGAGAAGAGATTGAAGTAGTTTATGGAGTCAACCTATAGGTGTATCCTACAGGTTTTTTAGTTACTTCATGTAAGTTTATTTTTCCTGGTATATTGTTGGCCTATAGAGAATAAAAAATTTATGTTTTGATAATCTAAGGATTACCTACAATGACTACCAAGATGTCTCAGGTGTCTAAGACATTGTGGCTACTCAACCAATGTTATTATTTTAACTATTATTTTAACTTTAATTTAGAAATATGAACCAGGCAGAAATTAGTGATTCTAGTTTCTCTGAAAATGATGGAATCCATAGATTTTTCTTTGGTGACTCATTTCAACATTGAAAGATTGCCTAGAGATTTCCTATTTCATCAACCCAGACCATTAGAGAGAACGATTTAACAGTAATATTGCTTGGGATATTTGAAGTATAATTCAAAAAACAGAGTGGGAAAGGCATCATATAAAAATATAATAAACACGGGCTTTTTTAAGAGAGGTAAAAGGCAAATAAGAATTATTACAATACATTGTAATCAAAGAAAAGATTAGCAACTGAAAGTTAAGAGTAGTCTAATTTAATATATTTTAGACATTTGGAGGATGTCTGAAGGGAAAAAATAAGTACAATTCATTCATTTAAAGTGTTCAAATTGTTGCTAAATTCATTCATGTAAATCTCAAGTTGATATTCTATATCTTTACTACTTCTCCTTCAAAACAGTTCCCGTTCCTCTCCTATCCTCTTATTTTTAATTATAAATCATGGGAGATGAAGATAAAACAATTGAACATGAAGATTTCAGACCATCCACAGAAATGGACCACACAGCTTCTACATATCAAGAAACACAGGTAAACCTACGATCAAATATAGAGCATTCCAACCATTTCTGTAAGGAAGGGACTATATATTTCCAAATCTATGAAACAGTTGTGTTCTCTTCATGCTCTATCACTCAATTAACAGTTCTTCCCATTCTTAATCCCCAAACTTGTATAATTGGTGTGACTACCAGTGTTCCCAGAGTCATTAGCAGCTCGCCCTACATGAGACTGGAAAAATAGAGAGCCTGTGAGATGCTTTGTGTTCCCAGCCTCACCCCTAGAATGGGTGTGATTTCTTCCCTCCCTTTTTATTGCTTAAATTATTGCTTAAATTATAAATGCTGGTGTGCCCGAAGCATTTATAATGCTACAAATAGTGACTCAATGGTAAATACTCCTAACATAGTTCTTGTTCCAAGCATTCACTGATTAGCTATTAATATAGCTGTCCATTTCCACTATAAAGTGGTAGCCTTGATTCTAGCAGCAGAAATTTGATCTGTGATTTGATGGCTCAGTAACTATAAAAATGTACAATAAATGTAACATTTCTAAGGATTCTTAAATTGCTTTAAACACAGGAGGAAACAGTTATGAACTCCAAAGCATTGGATGCAAAAGAACCAACAGAAGGAAGTAACTTACTGAATAGCAGTGAAAAAAAGCTACCAGAAATACCAACTGAATCAAGTAACTTGCAAAGACTAAGACACACATTTGCTTGCCCTCCACATGGCTTGCTGGCTAGAGGAATAACAAATGGTATGTAAGTGGTAAAAATTAATTCAGAAAGAGAGGATAAAACATGAAATTGTTTTAATGAGAGATTCTAAAATAATATGGTTTAAAGGAGAAAAAAGAAGTTTACTTCTCCATACATAAAATCTACTGGGTGAACAATTCACTGTGATAGATGGCTCTACTCCACAAGTCATTATGGGGCTTGTGCTGACAGGATTCCACTATCTTCAGCACTCTGAGGCTTCTCAGAGTGCTGTTGCTACTACCATTCCAGCTAGCAGGAAGAGAAAAAGAGCAGAGATCAAGGACATTTTCGTTTTCTGTCCCTGAGTAATTTCACAGGATTACATTAGGGCTCCACTGAGAAAAATGAGAAATCACTTGTAAACAGAAAGGCAATACATAAATGTTGGTTTTAATCATTATTAACTAATGCAACTAATGTTTCAACAAACAGCTTAATTTATGTTTCCAAATGAATCCATCATTCTGTAAGTAAGAATCTTGGTTTCCAATTCAACTTATTGAATACAACTTATTGAATACACCTATTACCTAAAATATTTAGAAGATTTTTTTTTAATGTTTCTTTTATTTTTGAGAGAGAAAGAGTGCATGAGCAGCGAAGGGGCAGAGAGAGGAAGATAAAGGATCTGAAGCAGGCTTTGTGCTGACAGCAGAGAGACCTATGCGGGGCTCAAATTCACAAATCATGAGATCATGACCTAAACTGAAGTTGGACGCTTAACCAACTGAGCCACCTAGGCACCCCTGGAGGATTTTCCTTTGGGAGTTTATCTCAGCACTATTTCAAATATTGTCTTTGAGGAATGGATTTGGTTTTTGGAGGCAGCCAAACATTATTATGATATCAGTTTGAAGAATGGATGGATGTTCAGATTCGGTAATCCTGTTTTTTTGTTTGAAAAGGAAATTGTGTGTGTGTGTGTGAAGGCGTATATATTTTGTACATTGGAGGAAACAGTAGGAAAAAGGAGAAGGGATTTAAAAATTGTCTATAAATGCTAATTTTTGAAAGTATTTTTAAGTTTGTTCATTAATTTTCCAGAGAGAGACCGTATGAATGGGGGCGGAGTAGAGAGAGAAGAGAGAATCCCAAGCAGGCAGCACACTGCCAGCGCAGAGCCCAATGCAGGGCTTGAACTCACAAAACTGTGAGATTATGACCTGAGCCAAAACAGAAAATCAAACAGTTAACTGACTGAGCCACCCAGGTGCCCCTATAAATGAGAATTTAAAGACAATTTCAAAAATGATGTTGAGGAATGACAGTACCACTGGAGTAAATATATGGCTTCCCAAAGTAAATATGTTGAAGAATATAATACATGTCATCTAAAAATTGTGTTTACTAAAAAATAAGATTCACTTCATTATTGTTAGACTTCATTTGTGAGCTCTGAAAATCACTTTTACCATTCTCAAATGGGACACTTGAAGCCAAGTATATAGTATGTTATACTTTAGGCTCTCCATGTTTTTAATAAAATTAGGTAAGTCTCTAAACTAGCATGAGAAAAAAATCTCAAACTTTATTTAAAACATGCAGAGAAAACCAGGTTCCAAAATATATACCCGTTGATAAGTCAACAGATAATTTAATACCTTTTCTGTCCTTTTTATTATTTTTTTAAACTTAACACCATTCAAATCATGATGCATTTCTAGTTAAAACATTTACAGTAAAAACAGGGATTGCATTGGGAAAAGGGTATGGATGAATGATGTGATTTGGAGACTCATTTTTAATTTTAATTTTTTTTCTTTTTTTTCTTTATTTTTAGAGAGAAAGGGGTTAGGGGAGGGTCAGAGGGAGAGGAAGAAAGAGTAAGCACTCTCTGTGCTCTGTGCAGAGCCAGACTCAGGGCTTGATCCTACGACCCTGGGATGATGACATGGGCCGAAATCAAGAATTGGTCACACAACCGACTGAGCCACGCAGGCACCCCAGAGAGTCATTTTTTAAAACTTCTATGATCATTGTCCATACAGATGCCTGAGAAATGGGAACTCATAATATATAAACACCTCTTCATTTGCTTTCCTGTACTTCTGTTGCTGAGGCTTACAAGACTGTTCTTTTTTTCCTGTACTCCATCCTGTGCCCCTTCAGTATATTTACGTATTTTTCTTAAGGAAATCTTACATATGAAAATGTGATTTTCCAAAATCATAAATGAGGAGTAAATTGCTAACTGAATTAAATGTGATTTAGAGAAACCCTGTAAATATACATTCACTATGTATTTAGAACTGCATTTTGAATATGAGAATGGAAAAGAATGTTAGAGTTTTTTAAAAAAGTGATCTGAAAGTGGAGGACATAATTCTACCTTTCTGAATTGTGTACAAAGCTGGTTTTATGCTGTGACAATGTAAAATTTAGTAGTTTATAATTCCTGCTTTCCCATTACACCTCCCATACTATGTAGGAATTTCAGCTTCTCTACCCAACTGGAAGATACAGAAGGTGCTTTAGTTATTTCACTGTGATAGTATCATAGCCTACAAAATCTGTAATAATTCTGTGAGAGTTAATTGATCTCTGGCAATAGGATGGATGACACTCAATGAACAGCTCTCTCACTATGTCAATGAAAACATCTGAAAACAATATTTTAAGTCTTTTTAAATAAACCTTTCATCTGTCAAAAAAACAGGAAGTCATCAGACACTAAAAACAGTATGATTAGGAGAGATAAATAAGCACTCAAGATGGCTTTCACTCTGGAGGCTTCTGCAAAATACCAGTGAACTTGAGATTCATTATGAGAACCATGAGAGCATAGGAGGCTATGCTTGGGTCTGCTCAGGTTGGGAGAAAGTCAGAGGAAAAAATGTTCCCCTCACCCATACAAAGCTGGAACCTAATGTAATGATGAATCTGAGGTAAACCTGCCCTTCAGAGGGGACCCGCAGCCAAACCTATCTGTCTAAACTGTCTGGGCAAGGGAAGTCTCCACAAAATATGTGTACCTTCATGCTGATCTGTGTTCCAAAGTCACAGAAAAAAACTCAAGCTGAAAATATATCTAAAAGTAGTCCTAGATTGTTAAGATTCTAAGCACATGGTAGGAGCAAATTTAGATCCTATCTGGGAAAACTAACATTCAACTCCAGCAATTCCCAAAGATTAAGTCTCATGGAAGAGCTCACTGTTGCCAAAAACACAAAAACAAAAAATCACAACATGCACAAGGAACTAGATTTCAAGAATTTGCATTATCAGAAAATAAAATATAAAATATTTTCAGTAACTATAAACAAGTTAAATTAGGTGTCTGGGTGGCTCAGTCAACTGAGCGTCCAACTTCGGCTCAGGTCATAACGTCACAGCTCCTGAGCCCACATCGGGCTTTCTGCTGACAGCTTGGGGCCTGGAACCTGTTTCAGATTCTGTGTCTCCCTCTCTCTCTGCCCTTTCCCTGCTCACATTCTTTCTCTCTCTCTCAAAAATAAACATTTAAAAAAATTTTTTTAAAAGAAAGTTAAAGAGGAGGTAGCAAATATAAAGATAAAACAAGAATCTATTTACAAAAATGAGCAAATTTCAATAACCACCAAATTGAACTTATAGACATGAAAGATATAATACAGTAATTGAAATTTAAAGCTCAATAGATTAGGCAGCAGATTAAGTGAAAAGAAAATTGGTAATCTAGCAAATAGGTCTGAAGAGATTACAATGCAGTACACCAGGAAAAAATGAATATGAAAGCTGGGCTTAGCCAAAGGGAGGAGAAGAGATTATGACTGTTCAAGGATTTAATCAGAGGTCCAGAAAAAGGAAGGGGGAAGAATAGGAAAGAGGAAATATTTGAAGAAGTAAAGACAGAAAATTCCAGAATTGATGAAAAACATAAATTCTAAACAAACTAAAAGGTGGCCATATGGAATTTAAACAGAAGTGCCGAGCAGATCACACTGCAATTGCAGAAAACCAATGAAAAAGAAAAGATCTTAAAAATAGCCAAAGAAAAAAAATTTCCTTAAAGACATTTAAAAACAATAATAAATGCCAGAAAACCAAGAGACAGTATTTTAAAGGAACTAGGAGACAGTAGCCCTCAACCTAGAACTGTGTACCCTGAAAAACTATCTTTTAAGAATGAGAATAAAGAGTGGTGGCTCAGTCGGTTAAGTGTCCAACTTTGGCTCAGGTCATGACCTTGTGGTTTGCAAATGCAAGCTCCGCGTGTGGCTCTGTGCTGACAGCTCTGAGCCTAGAGCCTGCTTCAAATTCTGTGTCTCCTCTCTCTCTGCCCCTTCTCTGCTCACACTCTGTCTTTCTCAAAAAAAAAAAAACAATAAAACTTGAAAGTAAATTCTTAAAAAAATAAAGAATGAGAATAAAGATAATCCCAGATCAATAAAACTAAGAATTTACCAACAGATCTTCATGGGAAGTAAAGCTTGCTCTGGTGCACTGTTTCTGTACTGTGAATTAGTTCACGTCTGATGGTAAATGAGGAATTGTGTCAGTGTAATATGAAAATTTGCATTTGCACATAATTTCTCCTGCTATGTTAATATTTTGCATCATCAAACAGTAGCGTGTGAATACAAAATGCATTGAAAAACAAGAACAGACAAAAAGGATCAGAGATACAATTCCTTAAAATTAAAGATAAAGCCTTACAAAAATGAAGACTTTTTAAAAAGCTGAACTCCCGGGGCACCTGTGTGGCTCAGTCAGTTAAGTGTCCAACTTCGGCTCAGGTCATGATCTCACAGTTCATGTGTTTGAGCCCCGCGTCGGGCTCTGTGCTGACAACCAGCTTGGAGCCTGGAGCCTGCTTCAGATTCTGTATTTCCCTCTCTCTCTGACCCTCTTCTGCTCACACTGTCTTTCTCTTTCTCAAATAAATAAGACATTTAAAAAAATTTTTTTAATAAAGAAAGAAAAGCTGAACTCCCTTTTTTTTTTTTTTTTCCAGACAGTTAGTTGCTGGTTTAGGGGTTTCAGAGGCTTTTTAAACTATCTACACCATTAAACTATCTAGTGAAACCACATACGGATGTAGAAGCTGACAGTACAGATAAAGTAGAGGCCAACACTTTCCCTCAGTTAAAACAACGATGAATATTTGATTGATGGAGAATGCTGTACTCTAGATCAGATTTGGATGGAACTACTTTCTATTTAAAGTAAATGCTTTCAGGGTTCTACATCTTGAAATAATACATGTGGTTCCAGTGTTTGAGTCTGCCAAAAAGAGACGGTGAGATGCAAATGCCAGTGTAGATTTAACTGCACTAACACTTTTATTAGGATCATTACTGGTTTTGTCAATACTTTGGTCACAAGCTTTGAGTTTTGAGTGGTCTGCCCAACTGTTTTTCTAGGAGTCTTTGTTTTTTCAGTGTAAACTTTAGTACAACACAAGGTTTTCAAAGTAGGAAACATGTTTCACATTCTAATAGAAATGCTTCTATTAAAGGAAATACTTTAGGCAACAAAATAATTGTCCCAGATTAAAGATTTGAATTGCCATAATGAATAATGATCAAACCAGAAAATAGGTAAGTATATGGGTAATTTCTAAACAAACCTTGACTATGGAAAAGAAACAATAATAGTGTTTATTTCAAGACACAAGTAAAATACTAGAATGTGATTGTTCAGGTATTCTCATGTTCCTACAAAGAGAGTAAAGATAGCCAATGTTTCCCTTTTTATTAACTAGTGAATATTTACAGTAAAATTATAAAAAAAAATAGAAGAATGGTAAAAAAAAAAATTCAAGATAGCAGTTCTTTCTGAAAGTGTGAAAGAAGACGGGAGATAGGATTAGAAGGGGCACATAGGTGGGTCCACAAGCACTGGTAGTATCTTATTTCTTAAGATGATTGGTAATTATTACCCAACTGTTCCTATTACTGATACTCTCTAAAATTTACACATGGTTATAAATATTTGTATGTATGTTTTATATTTTTAAAATTTTTATATTATATTAAAACCTGCATATGACAAGTTACTGGTAGAAACTAGTTTTCCTGGTTTATTTCAGTTACCATGGTTGTTCTTCTCTGGGCTGTCGTTTGGTCAGTTACTGGCACCGAATGTCTTCCTGGAGGAAACCTATTTGGAATTATAATCCTATTCTATTTTGCCATTATTGGAGGTAAACTTTTTGGGCTCATTAAGTTACCTACATTACCTCCACTACCTCCTCTTCTAGGTAAGTGCTACACTTTCTGATTTCAAGAGTAAATGATATTTTAAAAACTGTAGTTTGGAAAGCTTTTAGAAATAAATATAAAGTATTTCTGTATTTGCTGTACTGGAGCCAAAAGCCAATTGTTAAATTTTGAGTTTGATGAACCAATTGTTAAACACGGCAATTTTTAAAAATTAAATTATACATATTTACAATTAAATAATTTACATTAAAAATTAGACCAATATATACTCAAAACTAATCACTTCCTAATTATTTTACTGCATTTCCCCTTTTCTATGCTCTTGAAATTATGGAAATAATATACAGTGGTGTGCCACTGGCTGTCTCTTCCCAACTGCACATTCATGGATCATGCTGGTAGTTTAGCATCAACCATGGTAGAAGTAACTATAAGACAGAAATGCTACAAAACTAGGGCTCAATATATTGTAAGTCACTCACCTTGTGGACAAAGGAGTGAAGGGGTCATCTGCCACATCAGTATCAGGTGGCCGGCCATATCAATCCAGACCATCAGCAAAGGAAACAGTGTCCCAGGGAAGTTGTTGTCACATTCATTTGGAGAACAAGAAATATTTCTTCTTGCCCTCCTCACCCCAAAACTCCAAAAGAAACTCTTGACATATTTTTGAGTCCTTGTTAGATTATTATTTCTTTTGAACTATGCTCATTTCAGCCCTATTTGTAATGAAAAATTCCTTAAAGTCCATTAATTGGTCCAAAAATTACAGTCCTTCCAAACAATGAGATACTATTGCTATTAAAAAATGAGGTGTGTGCACACACATATACTGAGGCATGTTTACATAGGTATACAAACTTTTCTGGAAAGACACAGAAAACTCTTAAGAGTTAAAATCTTCGGTGAATGAAGATCAAAAGTTTGCAGTTGGAGTAGGGCATGTACTGGTCACTTCATAGTTGTTGATGATGTTTTAATTTACCATGAGCATGTGTTATTTTTATTATTCTTTAAAAAACAACTGTTGTTGGCTAGTTCCTACTTTCAAAAATTCTGGAAAGGCTGTAACTCCACAATTCAGAACTTTAAGAGACCTTCTTCTAGATTAAATGGCAGTGATGCTTCCTGGCCTAGCGGTGTCTCCAGCAAGTCACAAAAGCTGTGCTTGTCATTAGTCTCTATTCTCATAGCTTACATATAGAACATTGCAATGATAGTAAATTTGTTCAGTCATTTAACCTGTAAAGCTTGTAAGGACATGTTCAGAAGAGGGTACTGTTAGAGAAGAACACAGTCTGGAAGCCCAGTGTCTGATGGAGAAGTCTTTCTTTCCAATTGTAGGGGTATGTAGTATCAGTGAGGGCAAGATTCTCTCGAAAAATATTCAGCTCCCTCGGTCACTGTCAACTACTGATACTTCCCAGAATGTGTCATACTTCCTCTTCACACCTTGGAAGAAACTGCTAATCCATCCAGAAACTTCTTTACTCCCCGCCCAGTTCTTCCCTTGTTTGGATCTCTCTGACTCACCCCTCTTACTTCACTCATACAACACTTCCTTATGCTTCCATAAAATTGAGGTTGTCAGTTTATCTCACTCCCCTAGAGGCTGAAAATTTGTTGAGGTTTAGTACCAAGTTTTTGTTCATTATTATACTTCTACTACCTACTATAGTGTCTAAAATACTGAAGGCATTTGGTAATCAGTGAATGGCTAAAGGAAAGAAGAATCAGAAGCTGACATGACAGAGCAATGTCCATTTCATCATAACTTACAAGCCTTTGCAAAGAAAGTCATGTATTCTTAAAATTTTTTCAATGTCTGTTTTTGAGAGAGAGACAGAGTGCGAGCAGGGGAGGATCAGAGAGAGAGGGAGACACGGAATCTGAAGCAGGCTCCAGGCTCTGCACAGAGCCTGAAGCGGGGCTTGAACTCATGAAGCACGAGATCATGACCTGAGCCAAAATCAGACCCTCAACTGAGCTACACAGGCACCTCACAAGTTATGTATTTTTTGTTAAATAACCTGGCTTAAAGGTGAAATAGAACCCATATAGGTATTTGTTGATAATTCAGATACTCTGACATAGCAAATAATTTCAGGAGCCATTTGCTATTTGCACACAAAAGAGTGACTGAATTGAGCATTGTATTGAAACATTTTATATTTAGAATTTGATCACATTTCTGTCTAAATACTGCACCCTGTTTTTCCCTTTCAGGTTCAATTTTTTAAGAACTATTACTGATTCTAGGGACACCTGGGTGGCTCAGTCGGTTAAGCGTCTGACTTCGGCTCAGGTCATGATCTCACAGTTCATGGTTTCAAGCCCCATGTTGGGCTCTGTGCTGACAGCTCAGAGCCTAGAGCCTGCTTCCGATTCTGTGTGCCCCTCTCTCTACCCCTCCCCTGCTCATGATCTGTCTCTCTCTGTCTCTCAAAAATAAATAAATGTTTAAAAACATTTTTTAAAGAAATATTACTGATTCTAATGATTTTCATTTGCATATTAAAGCCTTTTCTTAGCTCCTCTAAATTAGTATATTATTTTAATTTTTTATTTTAGCATTTAAGGTTTTATTTAAATTCTGGTTAGTTAACATATAGTGTAATATTGGTTTCAGGAATAGAATTTAGTGATTCATCACTTGCATATAATACCCAGTGCTCATCATAACAAGTGCCCTCCTTAATACCCATCACCCATCTAGCCCATCTCCACACCTACCTTCCTCCATCAACCCTCAATTTGTTTTCTATCATTTAGAACCTCTTATGGGTTATGTGTGGATGGATGGGTTAAATGGATGAAAGGCATTAAGGAAGACACTTGTTGGGATGAACACTAGGTGTTGTACGTAGGGAATGAATCACTGGAATCTACTCCCGAAATCATTATTGCACTATATGCTAAATAACTTGGATGTAAATAAATAAGTAAATTAAATAATTAAATAAATTTGAAAAAATAATTAGAAAAAGAAAAAAGAAATAAAATTCAAAGAAAAAAAAGAGTATCTTATGGTTTGCTCTCCTCTCTCTTTTTTTCCCCTTCACATATGTTCATCTGTTTTGTTTCCTAATTCACATGTGAATGAAATCTTATGATATTTGTCTTTCTCTGACTGACTTATTACACTTAGCATAATATACTCTGGTTCCATCCACATTGTTGCAAATATTAAGCCTTCATTCTTTTGATGGCTAATATTCCATTTTGTGTGTGTGTGTGTGTGTGTGTGTGTGTGTGTATCCTCTTTATTTATTAATCAGTCAGTGGACACTTGGGCTCTTTCTGTAGTTTGCTATTATTGATAATGCTGCTAAAAACATCAGAGGGCATGTACCCTTTGAATCTGTATTTTTGTATCATTTGGATAAATACTTAACAGTACAATTGCTAGATCATAGGATAGTTCTGTTTTTAACTTTTTGAGGAGCCTCCATAGCGTGAGAGGTGGTATCTCATCATGGTTTTGATTTGTGTTTCCCTGATGATGTGTGAGATTGAGCACCTTTTCATGCATCTGTTATCCATCTGCATGATGGAAAAGTTTCAATTCATGTCTTCTACTCCTTTCTTCACTGGATTGATTTTGGGTGTGGAGTTTGATGCATTCTTTATAGATTTTGGATACTAATCTTTTATCCAATATGTCATTTGCAAATATCTTTGCCCATTCCATAGGCTGCCTTTTTGTTTTGTTGATTGTTTCCTTTGCTGTCCAGAAGCTTTTTATCTTTATGAACTCCTTGTAGTTTATTTTTGCTTTTGTTTCCTTTGCCTCTGGCAATGTGTCTAGTAAGAAGTTGCTACAGCCAAGGTCAAAGAGGTTGCTACCTGTGTTCTCCTCTAGAATTTTGATGGTTTCCTGTCTCACATTTAGGTCTTTCATCCATTTAAAAAAATTATTAAAAAAATATTAAAGAGATGTGAACTCAAAAATTAAAAGTGCCAAAAATATTTTCTTTATTTGAAAACCAACTAAAGAGTTATTTGACTTCTCCATTCTAGGCATGCTTCTTGCCGGGTTTCTTATCAGAAATATCCCCATCATCAGTGATAATGTACAGATCAAGCATAAGTGGTCTTCCGCTTTGAGAAGCATAGCCCTGTCTATCATATTGGTTCGTGCTGGCCTTGGGCTTGACTCAAAGGTATGAAGTATAAATTTCTAATTGTTGACTAGGAATTGTACTCTTCCAGTAGTACAGCTATTTAGAAATCACTGAGCTCTAGGCATTTGCGTGACAGCCTAAAGAATAAAATAGTGTTTATTTCATGCAGGACTGGCTATTCCAAGAAGAATACCCCATATTCTTTCTTGGAAGAAGGTGGAATTATACCTCTGGGGACAGCACTAGGAATAAAGGCTCCCCTTTTCTCTGACAGTGATATAGGTCATCCTTATAAACAACGGTCTTGAGAGAAGAAAGCACATTTATGGTGTGCAAAGCCTTCTGCAAGTTCTTAGGGATAACTATACAGCTCAAGAAACTGCTTGATACATAGAATGAGTCTCAAGTATGCCTTTTTTAATGCTTTCACTAACATATATTTTTGAATGAAGGAATGAATGTTCTTGGGGATGAAGGTTTTCACCCTGGCCTCATTCTAGCCACAAGCTAATACTGAGAGGGTTAAAACAGTGACTTTGGGGATTAATGAGCACAGACTCCAGAACATCCTGTCTGACTTCAAACCCAGCTGCACAATTTACCAATTTCTTAATCTTGGGCAAGTGACTTTAACTTGTATCTTTTTAGATGAGGGCATCTAAATATAATGGGGATAATAATATCACGTATATCATAGTGTTTCTCTGAGGACTATAAGCTGTCTCCAAAACACTTCAAACACTGAAATGTTTGTTAAATAAAACTCATTACCTGGCAAATTCATGATAATCCAAACATGGTCTGAATACTGAAGAAAAAGTGTCTAATGTCATAATCTCTCTCTCTCTTTAAATGATTATTTTTGTGTTTCTATTTGCATATTTCAGGCCCTGAAGAAGCTGAAAGGTGTTTGTATAAGACTCTCCATGGGGCCTTGTCTTGTGGAGGCATGCACATCTGCTCTTCTGGCCCACTTCCTAATGGGTTTACCGTGGCAATGGGGCTTTATCCTGGGGTAATGATTTTTCTTTGTCATATGAAAATAATGCAGGGATGTTTGGGGCTTTATTTGATTCCATCCAAGAGAATGCATAATAGCATTTTCTTAAGGACATCAGAAAATACAACACAGATATTCAGCATAACCTAAATATTATAACTTCAAAATATACTATATATAGAAAACATCTAACTTCTACAGGGATTATGATTCAAACTGTTGAAGAATTATTAATGGTGTTTTGCCTACACCTCATCCCATGCTGGTGAGAGATGCCATATCTCACCTCAAAGTCCATATAAAGGATAATAAACACACCAACAGTAATTAACACCAAACACTCTTTTCTTCTTTTGTCACCAGACAATTACAATTGGGTGGTTCTGCTGTCTTTTCTTTCCACTGCCAGTTCTTCTAATGGTTAACAGCCGTGAGAAGTAAATAAATAAAGGGGAGCCTCGGTGGCTCAGTCAGTTAAGTGTCTGACTTCGGCTCAGGTCATGATCTCAGAGTTTGTGGGTTTGAGCCCCACATCGGGCTCTGGGCTGACAGCTTAGAGCCTGGAGGCTGCTTCTGATTCTGTGTCTCCCTCTCACTCTCTGCTCCTTCTTCACTCACTCATGCTGTCTCTCTCCCTCTCAAAAATAAACACTTAAAAAAAGAAGTAAATAATTATGAAAATACTTAGTAAGAATTTAGTAACAATAAGTAGGTAAGAAGCTAGAAATCCTTACCTCTGGTTAAGACAGTGGAGCTATACTGCCTGGATTCAAATCCCAGCTCTGTGACTTTCCAGTATGTGAATTTTGGCAAGTTATTTAATCTTTCTGCATCTCAGTCTTCTCGTTTACAGAATGAAAATAATTATTGTAGTTACCTTCTAGAGTTGTTGTGAGGATTAAATTAGTTAATTTATGTAGAGCACTGAAAATGGTGTTTGGCATATAGTAAGGACTGAAAAATGTTTTCTGCTGTTACTGCTGCTCGTGTTCATATCACTGTCACTGCCATTATGGCCTTCTTCTAATCTGTTGTCTTATTTTACATATCAATTCCCAACAGAAGGCCTAATATTAGTTAGCTCCAATTTAAAAAGCCTTCAGCTGTGTTTTTCAAACCTTATACCATAAATGTTTTGTCTTTTTTTTTTAATGTTTTATTTATTTTTGAGAGAGAGTAAACAAGGGAGGGACAGAGAATCTAAAGCGGGCTCTGTGCTGACAGCAGCAAGCCACGAACCCTGAGATCATGACCTGAGCCAAAGTCAGACACTCAACCAACTGAGCCACACAGGCACCCTGGCTTTCTTTTCTTTTCTTTTCTTTTTTTAAGACAGATTCCTGCATCTTAACCCCATTAGGTCTTCTGTGCCACCCATAATTATATATTTCGGGGCAACCTAAGTGGTTCCAATATAGGCTGTCTGTGGCCACACTTTGAAAAAGAGTTCTGTAGAACTTGTGTGTGTGTGTGTTTTCAGTTTGGTGCTTCACTGCTATTTGAAAGACAATAGTTGTCTAAAGTGTAACCTCTAAAACAGTAGACGTTATTATAATTTCAACAACAACAACAATAATAATAATGCGTAAGCTGCTATCACACACATTTAAAGTGCTGCCTACTTAGTTTTGTTTTAGGTGCTGTGTCTCCAGCTGTCGTAGTGCCTTCAATGCTCCTTTTGCAGGAAGGAGGCTACGGGGTTGAAAAAGGCGTCCCAACCTTACTCATGGCTGCTGGCAGCTTTGATGATATTCTGGCTATCACTGGCTTCAACACATGCTTGGGCATGGCCTTCTCCACAGGTAAACTGGTCAGTTCACAATGTGCTGTTCCCTTGCACTACAGAGACGTAGATTGTGATGTTAGAACCTGGGCGTATTTGCTTGATAACTGAATACAGCAGATTAAAATGGAGAAAGCAACGGGGTTAGTTCCGTACCTGAGGAGGGACCAGTAGCTTCCAGTTTACCCTCTTCACCCTCTAGACATGGACTGTTCCAATGGTCTGGTAAATGCATTAACGGGGATCCAGAGTAGCAAAGTTTAAGAAAGAATTAGAATAGCTTTTTTTTTTAAATATTTTTATTTATTTCTAGGAGAGAGAGAGAGACAACGTGAGCAGGGGAGGGTTAGAGAGAGAGGGAGATACAGACTCTGAAATAGGCTCCCGGCTCTGAGCTGGCAGTCAGCACAGAGCCCGACGCGGGGCGTGAACCCACGAACCGCGAGATCATGACCTAAGCAAAAGTCAGACACTTAACTGACTAAGCCACCCAGGTGCCCCTAGAATAGCTTTTACATGGAGGCTTCTGGGAAAGTTCAATCTTGGAGACTTTACACAGAGATGAGTAGGTTCTTCAAAGAGGACAAGTGACAGAGAGCAGTCCAAGTGAAAGGAACAGCATTCTTCTAAAATGGGGACAGTTTCTTCTCTCTCCTCTGTAACATTTTATGGGTAATAATGGCAATGATTCTTCACGAGTATCTTACTTCCTTACTGAGTGTCTGATATGGATGTATTTTGTGCTAAGCAGTAATAAAAGAAGAGCATAAGGCATTTTTTGTTTCCCACTATTACTTAAGACTCTTACTCTCCTTTGGCACAGCACAGGTTTGTTTGTAAACCATGTCCAAGATTCAGAGATAAGATATGCAATCCCATATGATAAACAAAATGTAATTGTAGACCAAGTTTAGCTTCCAGTTATTGTGGAAACACATTTTCTTGGGAAGTCATGTGTTCTCAGTATCTGTACTCCCATAGTTATCTTCCCATTTTACGATTTATGCTGATTACCTAGAACCTCAACTCTTCCCACTGCCCCAAAGTTCCTAATATCCAGTCACCGTCCATACACTGCTGGGTATCACTGGTAAATTAATCTTATCAAAACATGGTTCTCATTGTATTACTTTTTGGTACAAGAACCAATGAGGATTCTCTCTTACCTATTAGGTCAAATCTATGCTCTTGTCTTTAATTGTACTGTGCCCATCCAAACTTACATTCTCAGTGCTTTCCTGGTATACACCTTTGAAACCATGGTTCTCAGCCTCAGCTGCATACTAGAATTACGTGGGGAAGTTTTAAAAAAATACTCATATGTAAGCACTTAGACCTTAGACCAATTAAATCAGAACCTTTGGGAATAGAAACCACATGTTATGCAAGAGTTGGTATTAGAATCACAGGGGAGGAGAAGAGGAGGGATGAGGGAGGCCAGGGGGAGGGTTTACTGGGGTTTTGTAATCTGGGGAGTATGGGCTATGGATAGCTTAAAGAACTGTCCTAGTCAACAATGCTGTGTTCCCTCTGCCCTGCTCCACTAAATGTGGTCCTTAGAGATTTTGGATGGGAACTACCTGGAGCCTCTTTAAAATATGGATTCCAAGCTCTGCCAAGCTTACTGAATCAGAATTTTTAGAGGTGGGTTCAAGAAGTCTTTTTTTTTCTCCTATATACTGGAGGTTGAAACGAATTAGCTACTTTTTACACATTTATAGTAAATTATTGTAATAGCTTGAGACATATGCTACTATTACAGCTAGATGCTTCTGATAGTCACACCATTACCTAACATAGAGCTGCTCTAGCTACATAAAGTTACTACAGAGGTAATTTTTTTTTAATAAGAGATGATTGAAATTGTAAGGAAGGAAAAACGGTTGCCCATCTACCCACCTTTGGTCCATTGGCTGGGATCCTGTAAATCAGACAAATTAACAAGAGAAAAGCAGTTTGTTAGTATGTGCACCCTGCTTACATAGGGAAGTACTCAGTGATGTCTAAATCAAAGAGGTGGTTAGAATTTAGTATATAAATATATATAATTTGCATGTAAGTGGACTGTGCACTTCAAACCTATATGTGAAATATATATCACATCTTAGCAAAATACAATAATTTTGGAGAAATGCAAGACAAAATAACTGAACTTTTAGAGGCAGCAAATTGGAAAGGCAAATAGGGAAACCAATGGTATCTAGGGCTGCTTTTAGCAGAGTCTGTCTTTGGGCTGATTAAGGGTCTGAAGTTGTCCCAGTGGTTAATTTCTGTCCTTCCTGATAGAGGAAAAATTCATGCCCTTAAAAATGTATGCCCTTCTTTTAGTCAAATGGGGGAGATAGATACCTTTTCTTGATTCTGTTTCTTCTCAATTGCCTTTTGCTCAAAATAATCTTTATACCAAAGTGGCATACTTTGGTGTGGCATATTCTGTTACCCTAAACTACAATAACAAGAAATGACATACTAGTTACATTGTTTAAAGGAGAGAGAAAGAATATGAGTCGGGGAGGGACACAGAGAGAGTGGGACAGGGGATACAAAGTGGGCTCTGTGCTGAGAGCAGAGAACCCTATACGGGGCATGAACCATGAGATCATGACCTGCCTAAATCAAGAGTGGATGCTTAATGGACTGAGCCACCCAGGCACCCCAGTACATTTTTTCTTAGAACAGTGTGGAAGGACTTCATGTGTTGAGCAATTTATTATGATTTTCTGTACAATATGCTAACAGATTTATTTTTAAGTATTCTAAATTCTGTTTGCTGTAGAAGAAAACAGAGGTTCTACTTACATATATATTATGATATTTCAAAGAAGCAATTAACAAATGAAGACTCTTCTAAGAGCAGTTTCAAAAATAAGTTGTTTTCAGGGGCATCTGGGTGGCTCAGTCAATTAAATGTCCCACTTCGGTTCAGGTCATTATCTTGAGGTTCATGAATTCGAGCTCCACGTAGGGCTCTGTGCTGACAGCTCAGAGCCTGGAGCCTGGTTTGGATTCTGTGTCTCCCTCTCTCTCTGCCCTCACCTCTGCTTGTGCTCTGTCTTCAAAAATGAATAAACATTAGAAAAAATTGTTTTTAATAATTTGTTTTCAGATTTATTTTCAGAAATAGCCTTTGAGAAACTGTATGTCCCCTACACTCCTTGTAGTAGGAAAAGATTCTTGGGTCACTTGTCTGGCCTAGTTGGAAGAGCATGTGACTCTTGACCATGAGGGTCATGAGTTTGAGCCCCAAGTTGGGTGTAGTGATTACTAAAAACAAATAAATAAATTTTAAAAACTTACAACAACAAAAGATTGTTGATTTTAATTGCCAAATTTTTAAGTTACTGTACTCTTTACATATCAGAGGTACTGTAATCAATTATTAGTAAAAAATCAGGCTCCTAATTGGCAATTTGAAAACCAGATATGTCTTCTCACCCAGCCTGTGCCTGTAGTATAGTAGAACAGATATCTCTGTTCATGAATTTTATCTTTTCTTAGGCCCTTTAAGTAAATTTTTATTGAAGTAAGCGTAAAAGAAGGGCACAAATCATAGTTTATACCAATTTTAAAATTTATCTGCAATAATATGCATAGCTTTCTTATTATATAGGCCCATCTTATTAGACATTTTAAGTCACATATATTTAAGAATATGGAGAGCAGGAAATATCTGTATACTTTTCCTTCTATGAAATTAGATGCTTTTTATGTTGATATTAAAATCTAAGTATTTACAGATTTAGAGTTCTGCCTGAAGTTTTTCTTTTTATGTGTTTTTAAGGCTCCACAGTGTTTAATGTTCTCAGAGGAATTTTAGAAGTGGTCATTGGCATGGCAACTGGATCTCTTCTTGGATTTTTTATTCAGTACTTTCCAAGCAGTGATCAGGTAAAAGAAATAATCTATGGGAAAGTCATGCCCTAAAATGTCATTTGAAAAACATTCTGGAATAGTCCCCTAAAAACCAACATGAAGAACATGATTTAGAAAATGGTCCCCCCACTGTAAAACTGCTTATTGCCAAATCAGTGCTATCCATGAGATGTATGAACAAGGCTAAATGTGCAGTTGACCCCTGAACAATGCAGACAGTGAGGCACCAACCCCATACACAGTCGGAAATCCATGTATAACTTTTGACTCTCCCAAAACTTAACTACTAATAGGATGCTATTGACTGGAAGCCATTCTGATAACATAAACAGTTGATTAACACATATTTTATATGTTGTATATATTATATACAGTATTCTTATAATAAAGGAAGCTAGAGAAAAGATATTATTAAGAAAATTATAAGAAAGAGGAAATACATTTACAGTAGTATACTGTATCAAAAAAAACTTTTGCATGTAAGTGGACCATGTAGCTCAAACCTATCTTAAGGGTCAACTGTATAAGGTTTTAATGCAATTCTGAAATTTTTTCTCTAATGTACATTCTGTAAACTTCACATTTCACTGAAAAATAAATAACATCATTTCCAGCATATACAAGCCTTTTTTAATTGTCTTTATTTTATTATTATTCTTTTTTTTTCAGGTTCCTCCATATTTTATTATTATTCTTAATATTCAGCTAAATCAAGATATAAAATGGCTTTCGGGCCCTTTTTTTAGTATCAGTATACCTTAGATTGTAATACTACCTAGACCTTAACATCTCGTTATATTATAGTCTAGTATTTCTCACCAAGAAGATCAAAGTTCTTTACTCTTCACAATAATTTCATAATATTCACTGAGGGTTTTTTTTGTTTGTTTTTCTTTACCCTCCTAAGTCCTTGGGATAGATAAACATATATAAAAGTCTTTCTTTTCCTGTAAGAACTGGCATTATTTTGAGATTTTAGAGAATTTTGAATGGAAATATAAACTTAACTAAAGTAGAACTTTAAAAAAATAATATTTCTATTATAAGAAAGTATGATAAGCTAAATTTCTATTATGCTCCAAAAACCTCCAACTAAAATTATAAAATATTTTATGAATGCATAAAAGAAAATTATAGGATTTTCTAATTACACAACAAAATAAAGAGAAAAGTAATGGCTTACATTTTGTTGCTTACTGTATATAAAATGATATAGTAAGTACAATAAAGTGCCACTCCATTCAGTATGGAAGCCACCAGCTACATATGGCTGTAGCAGATAGGGAACATTTCAATGGCGCAGATACAGTGGTGCAAATCTAGAAATTTCTGTCATCACTGGATGTTCTTTTGAGAAGTACTGATCTAGTACAATCATATAAGCTCATGTAATCTAGTGTAAACCACATAAGACTCATGAAGAGAATACTATTAATATGACCTTCTTACTGATGAGGAGATTGAGATTTAGGGACAAGTAACTTGAACAAGTTCACATACCTAGAAAACAGCAGAGCTGGGAGTGAACTCTAATAATCCTGAGCCTGGATGCTTCCAAGTCAAGCACTTCTAAAGACCTACTTGCCTTCTAAAGTGATCAAGAAGTTTAGGCGATGGCAACATTTTTCTAGATATGTCTCCTAAGGCAAGGGAAACAAAAGCAAAAATAAGGTATTGGAACTACATCAAAATAAAATGCTTTTGCACAACAAAGGAAACCATCAACAAAACTAAAAGACTAAAACCTACTGAATGGAAGAAAATATTTGCAAATGATGTATCCGGGAAGACTTAATATTCAAAATATATAAAGAACTTATACAACTCAAAAAAAAAAAAAGACCCAAATATTCCAATTAAAAATGGACAGAGTACCAGAATAGACATTTTTCCAAAGAAGACATAACAGATGGCCAACAGACACATAAGATGTTCAGCATCACTTACCATTAGGAAAATGCAAATCAAAGCCACAGTGAGTTATTACTATACACCTGTCAGGATAGCTAACATCAAAAAGACAAGAAATAACAAGTATTGACGAGGATATAGAGAAAACAGAACACTGCACTGTTGGTGGGAATGTAAATTGGTACAGCCACTGTGGAAATCAGTATGAAGTTTCCTCAAAAAATTAAAAATAGAATTACCATATGATTTAGTAATTCTGCTACTGGGTATTTACTCAAAGAAAACACTAATTTGAAAAGATAAGGCCCCCCTATATTTATTGCAGTATTATTTACAATAGCCAAGATATGGAAGCAACCTAAATGTCCACCAGTAGATAAATGGATAAGGAAGGTGTGATATATATACAATGAAATATTGAGCAGCCATAAAAAAGAATGCTATCTTGCCATTTGTAACAACATGGATGGATCCAGATGGTATTATGCTAGTAAATAAGTCAAATTGAGAAAGGCAAAGAGCATATGATTTCACTCACATGTGGAGTCTAAAAACGAATAAATAGGAAGCAGAATCAGGTCTAGAAAAAAAAATGAGGAGAGCCTCACATTAAGGACTAAACAGCCTAAAAATACTAGGGATATCACATCTTTAACTTTCACAAAAACGCTGTGACATACCTGCTTTCGGGGAGGAGAAGAAAAAAGCCTGAGGAAGCCAAGTAATGTGACCACTATATATGCCAGTATTGTAAAAGAGCTAGAATTTTAATTCTGGTCTCTCTGGCTCCAAAGCCCATGCACTTTTTTCTACTATTGCATTTAGCACTGTGAAATTCTGCTTTGATAACTGCAAAAGACAACTAGTGTTCCTAGGAGAGGAAGCTGCATTTGTCCATGTGTTGACTCTACTTTTACTAAGGAAAAAAAAGTAAATGTCATTGCATGCATTTGTGCCTAGATAGATGTTTTCATTTTCCTTTAAGTCCTGAATATAGAAAGGAATCATTAAAAATCAGTTATATGAAATAATTGAGCTAATCCACCTTTCTTTTTCTCCTCAAGGACAAACTTGTACAGAAGAGAGCATTTCTTGTTTTGGGGCTGTCCGTGCTAGCTGTGTTCAGCAGCGTGTATTTTGGTTTCCCTGGGTCAGGAGGATTGTGCACATTGGTCATGTCCTTCCTTGCAGGTTTGAGATGGGCCAGCGAAAAGGTGAATTTCAAGTTCTTCTGCTCGTTTACGTTCTTTCTGATCAGAGTAAATTTTTTTCTTTCCAGATACTTTCCTAATATCAAATTGATAAAAGTATTTAATCATAAAACCTATTTTCTATGCATGTGTAACTGTATGTCCAAATGTACAAACATACATCCTTCCCCCTTACATACCAATGTATAATTTGATGACTTAAAATATATTTATGGTCATATTTCCATGCTGCCTCCCTTGTTCTTTGTAAGAGCTACAGCTACAGAGTATTGCATTGTATAGCTGTCCTATATTTAACCAGTCTCCTGATAACAGATTTTAGATTGTCTCTGGTTTTCTACTAAGATGAAAAGTATTTCAATAAAATATCCTACCTATGCCATATTCTGTTAATTCTAATATGCTATCAAGTCTAAGAAGAACCATTTTACATGCTACCAAGAAAGAAAAAAGAATACTGCCAATTAAACTATGACATGACATTCTAACTTCAGAAATGTTAAAATCTGAAAAAAAAAACAACAAAATATGACATAGCTTTGAATTTATCTATAGGATAAATTTCCAGAAATAGGGTTGCTATGAAGGAATATACACATTGATATTTTGATAATATCAATTTGCCCTTTTAAAAGACTGTACCAATTTATATTTTCACCAATAGTATGTGAAGACGATCTGTTTTTCTGATCTGAGTATTTTCAATCTTCAGATATTTTGCTAATCTGATAGGTTAAAAATGTGTCTTATTATTGATCTGACTTACATTTATTTATAAATGAAGCTAATCATCTTTTCCTATGCTTACTAACCGGTTTGTTCAAAAGCCTGTGCCCATTTTTTAAAGGCTTGTTTGGGTTTTTCTTAGTAATTTTCACAATCATTGGGATTATTGATTTTTTTGATATGCACTATGGAAATTAGTTAGTTGTTACTAATTTTAATTTCAAGTTGCATCCTTATAGATTTGAACTTCACAGGATCATATGCTATTCTGTTTAATGGAGAAGTTAGATGAACCACCTAAATGCAGCTGTATCATTTTGGACCACCTGGGAACAACTGTTCAATAATTAAGCTTAAAATAATGCCACAAGGAAAAATGTGTGAGGGTTATAAAACTTGAAGTTAAGTATATAATTAAATTCAGTTGAGTGAATCTCTGCAGAGGTCTAATAGAGACAGAATTTCCTTGTGAGTAAAGAACACTCAGATAGGAGGCTCTCACTATGTAATTTGTGATTACAAAGTTAGGACAAGTGTAACTGAATCATCTTGCTTCAGAGGAGACAGGAGGGGTAGGAACTGCCTGAAACATTGTGAAGAGAAGGGTATTGAGGCTACAGGAAAGTAGATGGAGGCGGATTGGGCTTCGAAGGAAAGGAGAGATTCCCTTTGAAACCCTGCTCCATGCACTAGATGCACGCCTGGGTTTGCTGCCTTGCAAGATGCTTGGCTACAGGCTTATTTCAGGTCTACTTTTCTTTCTTAGCAACACCTATATTACTCAATTCTGCTTTCTGATTTCAAGTAACCTAACACTTGACAAGATAAGAGCTGTAGAGTAAAACATTTCCTAGCATAAAATGGGTACTGGTATCATCCCTCATCTCCTATAAGCATTTGCTCTTATCAAAACTTTTGTTTTCCATGGCTTCACTTTGCTTGTGGGCTGAAGCAGAGTTACCAACCTATTCCTGGTCAATCTCCTATCTAATCTCAGCTTTGGACTTGAGGGCTGTGCTGACTCTTTTGCTTCTCTCTGTGGACTCACTGCTATCTGTCTTGGGTCCTCTCCTGGCCTGCTGACAGATGTGCCCTACACTTTGAAGCATTCTGATCTATTCTCTGCCCCAGGACCAAGGTCACAGTTTCACTTCAGTGAAGGATGCTGCTATATTCACACTGTGACCCTTTGTCCAACACTTGGGAAGTTTGTCCGTCATTGGCATTTTACAAATTGTCCATTCACTTCTTCAGAGTAATCTTCTTTCAGCATTAAAAAAGTAAATTACCAAAGACAGTAATTTTTTAAATAAAATTAATTTTATTTTTGAGTATGAAGGGGCTATATGCTCATTTTTTAACTTTGGAGGGGAAAAAATCTGAAAGGAAAGAAATCATTTGCAGTTCCTCCACCTAAAGCCAACAGCTCTATAAACTATGTAAATATTTTAGTTTATTTCCTTTCATTTATTCAACAAGAAAATTCTCAAAAATGCTCATAATAAGTTTTTTCAAACAGAACTTTTCCAACAGTTATGGGTAACTGTTTTTCTGTTGTCACCCCCTTAAAAATCTTCAAAAATCACAGCCAACTCATTATTTTATACTGTAACAGGGAAAAAGAGGGAAGGGAGCTAATAATTTTTTTCTGTCTCTCTCTCTTTTTTCCCTTTGCTCATTTGTTTCTTAAATTCCACACATGAGTGAAATCATCTTGTATTTGTCTTTCTCTGACTGACTTGTTTTGCTTAGCTTAATACTCTAGCTCCATCCAAGTCATTGTAAATGGCAAGATTTTATTCTTTTTTATGGTTGAGTAATATTCCATTGCGTATATACTACATTTTCTTTATTCATCCATCTATCAATGGACACTGGGGCTGTTTCCATAATTTGGCTATTGTAGAGAATGCTGCTATAAACATCAGGGCACATGTATTCCTTTGAGTTAGTGTTTTTGTACTCTTTGGGTAAATACCTAGTAGTCTAGTTACTGGATCATAAGGTAGTTCTATTTCTAACTTTTTGAGGAAACTTCATACTCTTTTCCACAGTGGTTATGCCAGTTTGCATTCCCACCAACAGTGTAAGAGGATTCACGTTTTTCCACATCCTCATCGACCCCTGTTGCTTCTTATATTATTGATTTTAGCCATTCTGACAGATGGAAGTGATATCTCACTGTAGTTTTGATATGTTTTTCCCCGATGATGAGTGATGTTGAACATCCTTTCGTGTGTCTGTTGGCCATCTGTATGTCTTCTTTGGAGAAATGTCTATTCATGTCTTCTGCCCAATTTTTTAGTAAATTTTTATTGCCAGTCTGTATGGCTCTATGCTAGGCAGTAAGTGGATATTCTCATTTATTTTCACACACACAAAATAAACTTTAAAAAGTATTACCATTTCCATTTTATAGAGACTATAAATCAGAAAGACATAAATAACATGTCCAAGGTGACAAAATTAGAAAGTGGCACTGTGATTGAAGCTCAGGTTTACCTGTCCCCAAAGTTACTCTATGATACAACTGTAGCATTATTGTGCAGGCACATTTTAATATTTTTGACATATATTTGAATAACACATACCAAGTACATTAAGAACATTATCTTTCTACACGTTGCACTTTAAAATTAAGTCTCTAAATTCATAAATGATAGTATAAAAAATAAACAACGAAAGGAGCCATATCATTTGGAATGGAACATGTAAGAGTAGTTTTAGCAACAGGAAAATCAAAGGGAAGACTAATGCCTATGGCATGTGGGCATTAACTATGGACACGTAAAAACAAAGCAGGGCAAGGGAAATGTCTATCAGTTCCAGTTACACTACTCTTCTGAAAAACTGTAATATGGGCTATAGAGAGAAGATCATTATAAACCAAAACACAGCATGTGTTAGTCTGTATTTGTCATAATTTTGCCTGAATTGCTTGCAGCCAGCTGATAACATAGGTCAGTGTAATCCCACAACTGAGTGGAAAAACTAGGAACATTTTTTTCATATTTACTTCTTGTAACTTTCTTATGTAGATCTGTTTACCATACACACACACACATGTTTTTTTTAACCATTATACTCTATATAAAGCTAAGTCCTTAGTCATAGAATATACTCAGTAAAAAAATAATAACCCTTATTGTTTTGTAACTACTTGCAGAGCAATATGACAATAAAAATAGCTTAAAATTTAAGATAAAGTAATTGGGATTTCAATCCCAATTATACTCTGTAGCTGCATAATCCCCCCAAACTTACATGCCTTCTTTAATACTCTTTCTCAACTATAATATGAAGAAATAATATTGTGACAACTATGTAGAAAAACATATGTGAAACAATTGTAAACTCAACAGTGCTATAGCAAGGCTGTTGTTGAATTTGAAAAGCTGAAATATGTTATAAAACTTTGTGTATGCTACAGTTTTCTGACATTACTTCATACTTTTTTACTTGGTTTTTCCATATAATCATTAATCTTGCCATTTATTGTATTCAAATACATTCACCTTTTTAAAGCCTCTGTCATTTTTTTTTTCATCTATTTTCAAATCCAGTGTTTCTTCTGAAGACCTGTGTAGCTGTGGGATGGTTTTTCTGACCGTTTTTTTTATCTTCTGAATCTTGAAACACTCTTTCTGAGAAGGGATCAGCTTAAGTAGATATTAAAGTCATGGTAAAACTTCCATTTCTGCTAATTTTCTTCCTTTGTCCATGCTTGAAAGTGATTTCTGTTTTGGAAGATTCTTGCTACTGCTGCAAACAGATGTATAAAGTAGATTTAACATACAGTGTGGACAACATAGTTTTCATTCCTCTGCTCTCTTTTACACTTAGCCTATTCGGTGACTCCATTTTCTTTATTAGCACATTCATTTTATTTTTGAAGTTATAAAAAAGTATCAAGAGGGTACGTTTTGACTCTTCTTCCACTTTTAAGTCTTACAATTTATAAGCCCATGTCTCACATTTAACTAGTCTAAAGTGTTACAATAAAAAAATATAAATGGTGGCCTTTGTCTATAGTCTAGAAATGAAAATAATTGGGTAGAGAGAACTTTTCAGGCCATCTGCTTTCATTGGAGTTCTGAGTACATAAAATATTTTTGAGGCTTTCCCTTAAATAATTACTTACGGTGACAAAAGGCTAAGTAACCCAAGATTAACAGAGTTGATTTTTGTTATTCACTAATGTGGATAGCAACTAAAGTCTGAGCTATACCTACGATATACTTTAAAAACGAAATTAAAAAGTAAAATTTAAAGAAATATGGAAAGGTGGGCAATAGGACTCCAGCTTTGGTAGAACAATTTAATTGTCATTAAATGATAAAGATCTTGGATGTTATATAAACTTCCCATTTTATAAATGAGAAAAAATAAGGCACTGAGGGACAAGTAGGCTTGCAGTAGCAGGTGGTGGTATTTGACCCTAAGTCATAATCTGATTCCTTATGATATGAAAACATAACTCTTTGCATGATGTAGGAATAGAATTATATAAGTAAATCAACCAAATCCCTCACACATGTACTCTCTCTTTTAATATTTTTAACCCAAGACAAAACAGAATCTTCACCCTAATAAACATAACAGAATTTATTTAAAAAAATAAAGAAAATAGAGGGGCGCCTGGGTGGCTTAGTTGGTTAAACGTCCGACTTTCGCTTGGGTCATGATCTCGCAGTTCGTGGGTTCGAGCCCCGCGTCGGGCTCTGTGCTGACTGCCAGCTCAGAGCCTGGAGCCTGTTTCAGAGTCTGTGTCTCCCTCTCTCTCTGACCCACCCTTGTTCACGCTGTCTATCTCTCTCTCTCCTAGAAATAAATAAAAATTTAAAAAAAAAATAAAGAAAATAGAGAGACAATATAATCTTCCTGTATATCTGAATATAGATATATAAAACCATATCCTCAAAGGTGTGTAATTATAAGTATAAAAGTGTTGTCCAAAATAGATTCTTATTAATCGGTTGGTAAAATCTGTTCGATATAAACTTTTAGATACTGTGATGGGTACTGCTCAATTGCCATCCAAAAAAAGCACTATCAATTTGTTCTCCTACCAATTAGTGAGAGTTTCCTTATAATGACAGATATTTGACACTATTAAAACTTTTTAGTATTTTCTTCTAATATAATGCCTCCTCAAATGTGACATATCATTTTAGTTTGTATGGCACTGATTACTGAATTTTAGCATCTTATGTTTTATGGCCATTGTGTTTCTTCAGCTATGAATTACTTGTATATAACATTGCCCTTTTTTTCTTTTAGTTTCTGTGTCTTTTTCTTATTGCTTGGATGTTGCTCCTTATTCTGTTATACACAATACAGATATTTTCTCCTGGTTTGTCATCTTTTTGTTCTTTGCGTATGGTTTCTTTTGCCACAAAACATTCTAGCTTTGCTATAGTCAGTTGTACCCATCTTCTTTTACGATTTTGGCAATATGTGTTATAAAATTAGTACTTTTATCAGTTAGGATCTTATCAGGAAAGGGAAATCACAGAGTAACTGGAATAGGGAAAGTTTAATATTAACCATAACAGGGGATCAGATAACAAGAGATTGGCCTGTAAGATAGAAAAGACCCCTGAAGAATATAGGAATAATAGCTATAAAGTCCTAGGGCTGAGACTGAGCATCCCCTTATACCTCCTAACTCCACCCCACCTTCTCCCACCCCCAGGGCTCAGAATCCAGGTCATGTTAGAGAGCCTTTGTTTCCTGGATGGTGGAGAAGGCAGCCATGGTGCCCTGCTTGCACAATTTGCTGGAAATCTGTACTCCAAATTCACCTTCTAGGGTGCATGAGGAGGTATTTTATCCAAGGGAATTGGCAATGAAACTGCCTTGCGATAAGCTAGGAGCGGTCTCTGGCCACTGGGTGCTGCTGGTGCCATGCACTATAGAAGCCCAGCACTGGAGAAGACAACTGGGTGCTGAAGAAACCCAAGTGTGCTATCGGATCCTGCTGGAAGGAGCCCAGCAATCAGGAAGGAGAGCATCTTCCTTGCAATATCTCTTCAGCATCCTCTACTGACAAAATTTAATATGATGCCAGCTGGCAGAGGAGAAATCTTTAAAGGCTTAGTTTCATTTTCTGCAGAGCAACAATGAAAACCAAGAGTTAATAAGTTAACAACCAGCACAGCATTTTACTAGACCTGAGTTATATTTCTGTGCATGATTTGAGAAAACATTAAATAGTGTCTTTTATAAAGATAAAATAAAATTGGAAACAACTTAAAGGGCCATCAATAAAGAAATGATTAAATAAACTATGATACTAGCATACTATAGATTATTATATAGCAATTATGAGATATATATCTAGATCTCTAAATTATAATAGTAGTTGTTACTATTATAAGATCTCTAAATCATATTGTTGAATGAAAATTAACATAAAATTTTATACTGTAAAATGTTAAGTACTACATAGGTACATACACACGTATCATATATTCAGAAGTAGAAATCCCTCTAAGATTATTTAAGTAGACTCTATAATTAACATCCACTTGCAAACCAACTCTAAAGCACCTCATATAATAACTGTGTTAGGAATATCTTTATGTAGTTTTTTGCTTTGTTTTGGCTAACCTCTTATTTATAGATGTTACAGAAATAGGGACACCTGGGTGGCTCAGTCGGTTGAGCGTCCAACTTTGCCTCAGGTCATGATTGCACAGTTTGTGGGTTCAAGCCCCGCATCAGACTCTGTGCTGATACATGGGAGCCTTAAGTCTACTTCAGATTCTGTGTCTCCCCCTCTCTCTGCCCCTTCCCTGCTTCACTCTCTCTCTCTAAAAATAAATAAACATTTTTTTAAAAAGATGTCACATAAATAAAGCCTATCTCAGGTCAAATTGACTTAAATTTCAAATTAATAAAATTCTTTTTTTTTTTTAAATTGCTCATCAGCAACTTTTTTTTTTAATATTTTTATTTATTTCTAGGAGAGAGAGAGAGAGACAGCGTGAGCAGGGGAGGGTCAGAGAGAGAGAGAGATACAGACTCTGAAACAGGCTCCAGGCTCTGAGCTGGCAGTCAGCACAGAGCCCGACGCGGTGCACGAACCCACGAAGCGCGAGATCATGACCTAAGCGAAAGTCGGACGCTTAACCGACTAAGCCACTCAGGCGCCCCTCAAATTAATAAAATTCTTAAGCCTTGTCACTTCATATAATAAAAATCTGTGTGTTGGATGTGTGTGCATTTCTTTTAGGCAGAGGTTCAAAAAATTATTGCAGTGGCCTGGTACATCTTTCAGCCCCTTCTCTTTGGACTGATTGGAGCAGAAGTATCTATTGTATCTCTCAGACCAGAAACTGTAGGTAAGAATTTCAAAGTAGTACTTTTGCTAGAATCAACTTTTATATTCAGTAGAATACCTTTATTAAGGATATTTATTGTCACAATTATATAAAAAGTCATTAACAATCCAAGTCTCTTAGAGTAGTTGGCTAGAAAATAATATTTGTCAATCTAAGGCATAAATTTTACACCTTTAATATTATTTCTTGTAAAGAAAAGCAACACTGCTAACTGCTATCTAGAAAATGCAGGTCTTAAAATTTTTTCAAAGAGTAAAAATGTTCAATTAGATTTGTTCTTATCAAGGGCCAGAACTGTAAAGATAACTGCTCAGTTCTATAATATACACCCATGGAACAGAAATGTTTGTTCATTCATTCATTCATTCATTCATATACTCAAAAGCCATCATATTAAAAATTTTTATAACACTGCACTTAAAAATTTATTTGTACACTTGTACTCATTATTTCTCCTTTCCACTCATTCCGTCTTCTTCCTTCTTTACTAGGAATCCCATCTAGTAAATTTTTGAGTCCTGCTATTTTCTTCTGGATATCACACATAGATTCTTCCTCTTTTCTCATATATCTTCAAACAGCCATGTCACAGTTTTTTCCTCTTCAAAATTTAAATAAACCCTTGTCTCTCTTACCTTAATGTCTTTCCATTACAATACATGCCACACACAGATGAACCTAGGAGAAATACGCTATGATTCCACTTATATGAGGCAACCAGGGGAATGATACTACAGAAATAGAAAGTTGACTGGTGTCAAGGACTTAGGGGAGGAGAAATGAAATGTTTACTGTGTCAGTTTTGCAAGATGAAAAAATTCTGAAGATTGGTTGCACAAAAATATGAATGTTTAACTTAAGGCTGCTTACCTTGTACACTTAAAAATGGTTGCAGTGGGGGGAACACCTGGATGGGTCAGTCTGTTAAGCATCCAACTTCAGCTCAGGTCATGATCTCACGGTTCTTGAGTTCGAGCCCCACCTCCGACTCTGTCCTGACAGCTCAAGCCTGGAGCCTGTTTCAGATTCTGTGTTCCCTCTCTCTACCTCTCCCCCTCCCGCCCTCTCTCACTCTCTCAAAAATAAACATTAAAATTTTTTTAAATAAAAAATGGTTACAATGGTAAATTTTTACATGTATTTTACCACAATTTATATGTATATATAAGTATATGAATATATATAAAATCTCCTTTCTCCATTTCACTTCCCCCCTCATCTACCATGCTTCTTCTTTATTCCTCTTTTCAAACCTTTCCAAAGAGGTAACTATATCTTCTTTTTCCATTTCAGCTCTCACTTTGTTCTTCAATACATTTCTTCCCAGCTTTCACCCATCACACAACGAACCCTGCTCTCACCAAGGTTATATTGCTACATATACTGAATACTTATCAGTCTTTTTTTTTAACTTGATCATTAAGCAGCATTTAATGCGATTGATCTCTTTAAAACATAGTTTACATTGAATTCTGAAACTCCATATTTTTCAATGCTCTTTGAGTCCTCACTTAGACTATATATGGCTTAAATTCTGCTCTTCATCTAAGTTCTTCCAAAACCTTCTGTGCTTCTCACTCTGTCATTTTTCTGGGCTCCTCTATATTCAGCAGCTTTGATTATAAACTATATAATTCCAAAATGTTTATCTCTAAATCAGTGTATCTAATTGCTGATTGGACATCATCATTTGTAAATCTCACAAAATTTCAAAGTTAATATGTTCAAAACTTCTAAATCATCTTTACCCCCAACCTTCATTGTTCCTCCTGCAAATGAACCAAATCACCTCTTTTGTTTCTTGTACTTCAGGCAACAAATACTTTTGAAACCTACAACCTGATTTGCAACAAATAATGATAAGAGCACTATCCTTCTATAAAGGGCCACAACACTTTTTTGTAAAGAAGCCATATTGCAGATTCACAATAGATCCTCCAGCAATGTCTATCTGGTGTTTTACTAGGCTTCTTTTGAACTTGAGAAAGTCATTTATCCTTTCTAAACTTCATTTTTTTTCCACTGCAAAATAAGAAAATTTTCCACAGGTTGTAAGGATTAAGTAATGAGTGCACTTAATGCTTAATGTAGAACCTAGCACACCGTAAACACTCAACAAATTTTACTTTTTAGAAAATCACCCTATTAGCAGTCACCTTAGCTCAGGTTAGCATCTTTCTCAGGTTTCTGTAGTGGCCCTAATCACAGTTCTTGCTTTGCAAATCAGGATGAATTTATCTTTCGGCAGAGGATTCTAAAGCCTGAATAAAGTAGCTGTACATGATAATCAGGGCTAATGGACCCTCAGTGTATACACCAATATGGTGAAACAGATGTAGACTGCCAGTGTCTATTATGATTGGTCAGTGCCCAGCCAGCTCTGTTCTATTTGGCTAATTGAGTCTATACTGGCTGATAAATATTTTTAGTGTCACCTCTGGTTTATACTCTGTAAATGGTGCTCAACCATTTTGATGAAGATATTAACGTTTTCCTCCTCTATGACCTCTTACCAGTATGTTTATATTGTACTTACCTTATAGTGTATTAATTAGTTGTTTATGATTCTGTTCTCCTCTGATTTTGAAGTTCATAGAGGCAAAGCCTGCACATTATACATTTTTGTGTACGCAAAATGTAGTCCAAGTCCTGTCATGCATAGTTATCATTTAATGAATTCTTATTGAGGGACACCTGGGTGGCTCAGTCGGTTAAGCATCCAAAGACTTCAGCTCAGGTCATGATCTCACGGTTTGCGGGCTGGAGCCCCCTGCCGGGCTCTGTGCTGACAGCCAGCTCAGAGCCTGGAGTCTGTTTCAGATTCTGTACCTTCCTCTCTTTCTCTGACCCTCCCCTGCTCACGCTGTGTGTGTGTGTGTGTGTCTCTCTCTCAGAAATAAATTTTTTAAAAATTTAAAAAAAAAGAAAGAAAAAAATTCTTATTGAATAAACCCATGGAAGAAAGCATAGTTCTTGCTATAAAGCGTAAGAGAAATAACACTCAAATCTCCTTTCTAATTTATATCAAATATCAAATATCTTATTTTTTTTTTGCTACAGAGAATATGTGCTTTCCCTTTTTCTTTCTTTTTTTTAAATGTTTTTAATTTTTTAATTCACATCCAAGTTAGTTAGCATATAATGCAATAATGATTTCAGGAGTAGATTCCGGTGCTCATCCCAGCAAGTGTTTTCCTTAATGCCCCTCGCCCGTTTAGCTTATCCCCCCACCTACAACCCCTCCAACAACCCTCAGTTTGTTCTCTATATTCAAAAGTCTCTTATGTTTTGCCCCCCTCCTTGTTTTTGTATTATTTTTGCTTCCCTTCCCTTCCCTTGTGTTCATCTGTTTTGTATCTTAAATTCCTCATATGAGTAAAGTCATATGATACTTGTCTTTCTCTGACTAATTTCATTTAGCATAATACCTTCTAGTTCATCCATATAGCAAATGTGTTTAATTAATTACTGGCTTAATCTAAGAAAAATACCTTCTTTCAAACATGGTTTAATCTTTAATATCGATGTTTTGATAAATTATCCCTAATCATTTTTGTCTTTTTAATTTTTTAGATAATTACAGTTGATAGTATTTTGAATCAATAACCATGAGATTCATTTACTCCCCCAGTATTTTATTATGTCTAAAATTAAGTATTTCTTACAGGCCTTTGTATTGCCATCCTCGGTATTGCAGTATTGATACGGGTTTTGACAACATTTCTGATGGTGTGTTTTGCTGGTTTTAACATAAAGGAAAAGATATTTATTTCTTTTGCATGGCTTCCGAAGGCCACAGTCCAGGTAATGACAGATAGAATGGCTTAGCATTTTAACTCCTATTTATATATGGTGTCTTGAACTTTTGAATAAGAGGGCTTATTTAAATTTAGTGAAAAATGTAATTGAAGTCTGATTTATGAAAACGGTTTATACTAATCTACTGTTTAAAAGTATGTTGATTTCCTAAATATGATGGCTCATTTAAATTTATCTAGATCACCAGATTTATTTTAATCAACTAAAAATCCATAAATCCCTAACTAGAAAGTAGTCACAGGAAGAAAGAGTTTGTATTTTTATCAGTCAGAGCTCTCTAAATCGCCCAGAAAGATAATTGTCAACCCTTCTCATTTCAATATCTTCCAAAAAGAGATTGAAACAGAAATAGCATGGCCCATATTAGTATTTGGAAATACTTCAATATCAGTAAGACTGATGATCAGTTATGCTTGACCACAGTCTTTATATATAAAGGAGAAAGATTTATTTAAAAAAACATGTGAGAAAATGCTTTACTGCTTTCCTAGATTATTGGTTGATATTAAAATTTTCAAACTAGCAGAACTTCCTGTCAAATGTATCAATCACATGACCCCAAACTGTGCACTGTGATGGGCAAGGCATGAACAGTGTTTGAAATTATTGACCACGTATTTGGTAGAATTTAATTACTAATTACATTACAACTGTGTAGATTATTTTTTGTTGCAAATGTAATATATTTCTGATTATGTTATATATTTTCAAACTAATGATAGCAAAGAAGATTTAACTGCCTCTTCTCTGATTATTTTGCACTTGTTTAAATATGCACATTTTTGTTTCATGAAAAGAAAGTCAGATGTTCTTAATTTAGGAAGCTTTGGGGGATATGCATGCTCTGTAACTGTTTGCCAGGTTTTGTGTGGCTGTGGGCTTCCGCATTATTCGAGAGAAGTTTTCATTTCTATCAGATTTTCAGAGATGTCTGAGACATAATGGATAAGAATACTATGAGGTTAATAGTACAGTATGTGTAAAATAGTTTCCTCAGTGTCTTCAGCTTCCTCACTACCTTTGGTAACTTTAGTGGGTAAATATCAAATAATCACTCAGTACCTTTGGTATAAAAGATTTCTTTCTAAACATTAAAATTTAAAAGATGATACTTTATGCTTTCAAAGACAATTTTATTGTATTTATTTATTTATAGTGTGTTGTGAAGTTGATTTCCATATAATACCCAGTGCTTACACCAAGTGCCCTTCTCAATGCCCATCACCCATTTTCCCCTCTCCCCCCGCCCCCATCAGCCCTCAGTTTGTTCTCAGTATTTAAGAGTTTCTTATGGTTTGCCTCCCTCCCTCTCAACTATTTTTCCCCCTTCTTCTCCCACATGGTCCTCTGTTAAGTTTCTCCTGTTCCACATATGAGTGAAAACATATAGTATCTTATCACTTAGCATAACACCCTCTAGTTCCATCCATGTTGCCACAAATGGCCAGATTTCATTCTTTCTCATTGCCATGTGGTATTCCATCATGTAGATAAACCACATCTTCTTGATCCTCTTTCCATTTTTTGGCTATTGTTGAAAGTGCTGCTCTGAACATTGGGGTACCTGTGCCTCTATGTATCAGCACTCCTGTATCCCTTAGGTAAATTCCAAGCAGTGCTATTGCTGGGTCATAGGGGAGTTCTGTTGTTAATTTTTTGAGGAACCTCCACACCGTTTTCCAGAGTGGCTGCACCAATTTACATTCCCACCAACAGTGTAGGAGGGTGCCCATTTCTCCACATCCTCACCAGCATCTATAGTCTCCTGATTTGTTCAATTTACCCACTCTGACCTGCATGAGGTGGTAGCTCAGTATGGTTTTGATTTGTATTTCTCTGATGATGAGTGATGTTGCACATCATTTCATGTGTCTGTTGGCCATCTGTATGTCCTCTTTGGAGAAGTGTCTGTTCATGTCTTCTGCCCATTTCTCACTGGATTGTTTGATTTTTTGGGTGCAGAGTTTGGTGAGTTACTTATAGGTTTTGGATATTAGACTTTTATCCAATTTCATTTGCAACTACCTTTTCCCATTCTCTCAGTTGCCTATTAGTTTTATGGATTGTTTCCTTTGCTGTGCAGAAGCTTTTTATCTTGATGAGGTCCAAATAGTTCATTTTTGCTCTTGATTCCCTTGCCTTTGGAATTGTGTCGAGTAAGAAATTGCTGCATTTGAGGTTGAGAAGGTTGGTTCCTGCTTTCTCCTCTAGGATTTTGATGGTTTCCTGTCTCACATTCAGGTCTTTCAACCATTTTGAGTTTATTTTTGTGTATGGTGTTAGAAAGTGGTCTAGTTTCATTCTTCTTCATCTTTTGCATCTTCTGCCAGTTCTCCCAGCACCATCTGTTAAAGAGGCCGTCTTTTTTCCATTGAATACCCTTTCCTGCTTTGTCAAAGATAATTGGCCATACATTTGTGGGTCCAATTCTGGGTTCTCGAGTCTATTCATTAGTCTACGTGCCCGTTTTTGTGCCAATACCATATTGTCTTGATGATTACAGCTTTGTAGTAGAGGCTAAAGTCTGGAATGATGATGCCTCCCGTATTGGTTTTCTTCTTCAATATTACTTTGGCTATTCGGGGTGTTCTGTGGTTCCATACAAATTTTAGGATTGTTTGTTCTAGCTTTGAGAAGAAGGCTGGTGCAATTTTGATTGGGATTGCATTGAATGTGTAGATTGCTTTGGGTAGTATTGACATTTTAACAATAGTTATTCTTCTGATCCATGAGCATGGAATGTTTTTCCATTTATTTGTGTCTTTTTTAATTTCCTCATGAATTTTCTATAGTTCTCATCATACAGATCTTTTACATCTTTGGTTAGGTTTATTCTGAGGTATTTTATGGTATTTGGTGCAATTGAGAATGGGATCAGTTTCTTGATTTCTCTTTCTGTTGCTTCATTGTTGGTGTATAAAAATGCAACTGATTTCTGTACATTGATTTTGTACCCTGTGACTTTGCTGAATTCATGAATCAGTTCTAGTAGACTTCTGGTGGAGTCTGTCGGGTTTTCTGTGTAGAGTATAATATCATCTGCAAAAAGTGAAAGTTTGACTTCATATTTGCCAATTCTGCTGCCTTTTATTTCCTTTTGTTGTCTGATTGCGGATGGTAGGACTTCCAGCACTATGTTAAACAACAGTGGTGACAGTGGACATCCCTGTCGTGTTCCTGATCTCAGGGGAAAAACTCTCAGTTTTTCCCATTGAGGATGATATCAGCTGTGGGCTTTTCATAAGAGGCTCTTATGATGTTTAAGTAAGTTCCTTCCATCCCGACTTCCTTGAGGGTTTTTATTAAGAAAGGATGCTGTATTTTGTCAAATGCTTTTTCTGCATCTATCGACAGGATCGTATGGTTTTTATCCTTTCTTTTGTTAATATGATGTATCATCACATTGATTGAGTTGTGAATATTGAACCAGCCCTGTAACCCGGGAATGAATCCCACTTGATCATGGTGGATAATTCTTGTTATATGCTGTTGAATTCGATTTGCTAGTATCTTGTTGAGGATATTTGCATCCATATTCATCAGGGATATTGGCCTATAGTTCTCTTTTTTGTTGGGTCTCTGTCTGGTTTGGAAATCAAAGTGATGCTGGCTTTGTAGAATGAGTCCAGAAGTTTTCCCTCCATTTCTAATTTTTGGAATAGCTTGAGAAGAATGGGTATTAACTCTGATTTAAATGTCTGGTAGATTCCCCAGGGAAGCCATCTCGGGGTTCTTATTTGTTGGGAGATTTTTGATCACTGATTCAATTTCTTCACTAGTTATGGGTCTGTTCAGGTTTTCTATCTCTTTCTGTTTGAATTTTGGAAGTGTGTGTGTGTTTAGGAATTTGTCCATTTCTTCTAGGTTGTCCAGTTTGTTAGCATATAATTTTTCATAGTATTCCCTGATAATTGCTTGTATTTCTGAGGAATTGGTTGTAACAAATCCATTTTCATTCATGATTTTGTCTATTTGAGTGATCTCTTTTCTTTGTGAGAAGCCTGGCTAGAGGTTTATCAATTTTGTTTATTTTTTCAAAAAAACCAACTCTTGTTTTCATTGATTTGTTCAACTGTTTCTTTGGTTTCTATATTGTTTATTTCTGCCCTGATCTTTATTATTTCTCTTCTTCTGCTGAGTTTGGGGTGTTCTTGCTGCTCTGCTTCTAGCTGCTATAGGTGCACTGTTAGATTTTGTATTTGCACTTTTTCTAGTTTCTTCAAATAGGCCTGAAGTGCAATGTGTTTCCTTCTTAGGACTGCCTTTTCTGCATCCCAAAGAGTTTGGATTGTTGTATTTTTATTTTCACCTGTTTCCATGTAGTTTTTTAAATTTCTTCTCTAATTGCCTGATTGGCCCATTTGTTCTTTAGTAGGGTTTTCTTTAACCTCCATGTTTTTGGAGGTTTTCCAGACTTTTTCCTGTGATTGATTTCAAGTTTCATAGCATTGTGATCTGAAAGTGTGCATGGTATGATCTCAATTCTTTTATATTTATTGAGGGCTGCTTTATGACCCAGTATGTGATCTGTCTTGGAGAATGTACCATGTGGACTCGAGAAGAAAGTGGATTTCATAGCTTCAGGATGTAGAGTTCTATATATATCTGTCAAATCCATCTGGTCCAATGTGTCATTTAGGTCCTTTGTTTCTTTAATGATTTTCTGTTTAGTTGATCTATCCATTGCTGCCAGTGGAGTATTAAAGTCCCCTGCAATTATCACATTCTTATCAATAAGATTGCTTATATTTGTGATTAATTGTTTTATGTATTTGGATGCTATCAAATTTGTTGCATAGACGTTTACAATTGTTAGCTCTTCCTGATGGATAGACCATGTAATTATTATATAATGCCCTTCTTCATCCCTTCTTACTGTCTTTACTTTAAAGTCCAGTTTGTCCGATATAAGTAGAGCTCCTCCAGCTTTCTTTTGACTTCCAGTAGCATGTAGATATTTCTACATCCCCTCACTTTCAATCTGAAGGTGCCCTCACATCTAAAATGAGTCTCTTGTAGACAGCTAATAGATGGATCTTGTTTTTTTATCCATTCTGATACCATATGTCTTTTGATTGGAGCATTTAGTCCTTTTACATTCATTGTTATTATTGAAAAATATGGGTTTAGAGTCATTGTGTTCTCTGTAGGATTCATGCTTGTAGTGGTGTCTCTGGTGCTTTGTATTCCTTGCAACATTTCCCTCTTAGAGCTCCCTAGGATTTCTTGTCGGGCTGGTTTAGTACTAATGAATTCCTTCAATTTTTGTTTGTTTGGGAAAACCTTTATCTCTCCTTCTATTCTGAATGACAGGCTTGCTGGATAGAGGATTCTTGGCTGTATATTTTTTTCTGTTCATCACATGGAAGATTTCCTGCCATTCTTTTCTGGCCTGCCACATTTCAGTATGTAGATCTGTTACTACCCTGATGTGTCTCCCTTTGTATGTTAGGGCCCTTTTAACCTTAGCTGCTTTCAGAATTCTCTCTTTATCCTTATATTTTGCCATTTTCACTATGATATGTCATGCTGAAGATCTATTCAAGTTATGTCTGAGGGGAGTTCTCTGTGCCTCTTAGATTTCAATGTCTGTTTTCTTCCCCAGATTGGGGAAGTTCTCAGTTATAATTTGTTCAAGTACCCCTACAGCCCCTTTCTCTCTCACTTCTTCTTGTGGAATTACTATGATATGGATATTGTTCCATTTGATTGCATCATTCAGTTCTCGAATTCTCCTTTAGTGCTCCTGGATCAATTTATCTTTTTTTTCTCGGCTACCTCCTTTTCTATAACTGTATCTTCTAATTCACCTATTCTCCTCTCTGCCTCTTCAATCTGTGCAGTGGCTGCCTCCATTTTATTATGCACCTCATTATAGCATTTTTAAATTCATCATAACTATTTTTAAGATCCATAATCTTTGTATCAAAGACAATTTTAAAATAAGGAAACATAATCTAGAACCTATTGAATAATGTATGTTCTGTGAAGTAAGTATTGTATAAAAATTTTATTTTCCTCTTGGTACTGCACAAAAAATAAAACTTTCTTTTATGTTTTTTCTACATTAGTGTTTTTCAAACATTTTTGCTCACATAATACTATAAGAAATATATTTTAAATCACAACTCAGCATATGTACAAGCCCCAAAATACATATGCATACTCATACACACAACAGAGAACTGAAAACTACAGATCATAATATGTGCAGTTCTTCCCAAGAATTCTCAAAATGTTTTATTAGTTATGGTACAAGGTAAGCTGCAATAACCAAGAATCTTCAAATCAATTTACCTGGGCATTCCAGAGCTGGCAGGGTGGCCACTACCCTCAGCATGTACCTTTTATCCATGACACCACTTTTTACCATTTTTCATCCAATGGGAAGGGGGAAAAGGTACAAGTGTCCACTTCTTTCTAGGGAACAGTCTATTAGTAGCATTTATCACTTCTGCTTACCTCTCAGTGGCCAGAACTTAGATACATAGCTTTATCTAGTTGTAAAAAAAGGCTGAAAAAAGTCTTCTTTTGTACAGTAATGTGACCAGCTGAACCTCAAGAGTTTCATTATAGAAGGATGAAGGTCATTCAGATACTTGTGGACAATTAGTAGTCTTTGCCATGTGTCTTATGCACACTGATATTTTCTCTTTGATTATCCTAGAGGCTAACATTGTTGTGTTCTGTGGCATAAGGGAATAGTCAGATGATTTAATAATTGTTTTCCTATGTGCACTGATAATATTGCATTTTGCCTGTAAAAAAAGAAACAAATATTTTATTAGACTTTTTCAAAAGCCAAATCTTAAAAAAGACATTTTACCAACTCCCAAGGCAAAAATTCACTAAATACTGAATAACATTAATTTGAAGTTTTGAAGGTGCCTAGCATTTTAAAGTTTCATGATGTTTAACAATTAGGCTGTAACGCAAAACATATTCCTTTTTGTTTGTTTTTTTAATACAGTTTATTGTCAAATTGGCTAACTTCAGTGTATACTGTGTGCTCTTGGTAGATTCCCATGTGCATGGGGTACTTCTTGTGATTCATCATTCACATACAACATGGGCTTTTTTTTTTTTATTTATTTAAAACTTCACCATCTTCCAGTATCAGTGCATTTTTTAATCTTGTTTTTTCTCAATTCAAAATTCCTAAAGATAGAAGAATGAGATGACCAGTAACTTTCATGTTTACTCAGGAGGAATTTACTATATAGGATCATGTTATAGTTAATTAATTGAGCATCTGCATTTGCCTCGTGTTTTGAAATATATTTGCCTGATATATTTTGTAACCCTGCTTTATGCAAATAGGTACATATGAATCATTATTCTTTCCCTAAGCAAGGACAGGGAGAGTTTTCAGACAATCAAAACTAACTGCAGTATACTTTGAAGGAAGACTAAGAATTTTCTTAGTTGAGCAAAAGAATAAGCAATTTGTTTCTGCAAATGAGAAAAAAATTCACCTTTTTTCTGTGTGCTTGTCTTATGTTTCCAATGTTACCTTTAAACTTTATAGGCTGCCATAGGATCTGTGGCTTTGGACACAGCAAGATCACATGGAGAGAAACAGTTGGAAGAATATGGAATGGATGTGTTGACCGTGGCATTTTTGTCCATCCTCATTACAGCCCCAATTGGAGGTCTACTCATTGGTTTGCTGGGCCCCAGGCTTCTCCAGAAAGCTGAAAATCAAAATAAAAATGAAGAAGTTCAGGAAGAGACTTCTGTACAAGTTTAGAGGTGAAGAGAGAGAATGCTGAATATAATGATTAGAAAGCTGCTACCAGAAGCTGCTTTTATCAACTAGCAGAGGCTACTTTATCTAGATGGATATTGAGATGTGTAATGGTTAAACCTTAAATGTAATAGAAACAGAACTGTGGCTATTTCTTTATAGAGCATTTTTAGCCATTATCCTTTCCATGTGGTTGGTAATATTCTACAACTTCAACCTGATCTCCCAACCTTTTTCTTTTTTCAAATATGTCTTCATCATATATCATAATTTGTTTAGAACATATACACTAAAGTGTACTTCCACAATTTAAAATTAACATAGAAAAGGTCAAGTTCAGTATCCTGTTCTGTTAGCCAACAGCTTGTTCTAACTTAACTGTCATAGTTTCATGATTCATGGTCACTCAACTTCATGCCCTGAAATGTTTTTGTCTCCTCTTTTCGTTTTTATCTTTAAATACCATAATGCAGTCCCCCATCAATTTCTACCCCCACTTTCTGTGCCAATCTGCCTCTGCTCCATCTCTACCTCTCTTGCTAACATTCTGTGAATTATTGTAACTGATTGGTCCCACAAAAATTTCAAGTATGCAGCATATCTTCATTGGCTTTTCCTTTGCAACTATCTAGATGTCAAAAGATCTTATCCTGTCTCCTAGGTGGCAACACAGAGTCTCCCATTTTAGGGGCTCATCTGAGTTTACCTTCCCTTAAGGAGTGATCTTATTCAGCCCTTTATTAAAGGAATAGATTCTGTTAAAGGAATAGATTATTAATATTCTGATCCTACTAAGCTGATCTACGTAAAGCCTATCCATTCCTTTCTTGTCTTCAGACCACTGCTCCAGACCCTTTCTCTATGACTTTCACCTCTGTTCAAAACCAGCTTAATTTTTATTAAGCTAACATAATATGAAGCCATAACAGCTTCATTTACATATCAGCCTGACTTTGCTTACTCTATGGTACTGTGTTTCTTTCTAGTTTTTGCTCTTTGTTTGGATTGGATTAATTTATGCCAAAATTCAGTTGAATATTTCAAACTGAACTTCGTTGGTTAGGTGCACCTTGGTGGTAGGAACATAAACCTCATGCTCGTCTGTTCCTTTCCTTTTGCAAGTTCTGAAACTAGATTCCTTCAGTAAATACTTAGTGGAAGCCTTTGATGACCTAGGCACATCATCAAAACTGTTATTGCTCCAGTCCTTAAGGAACTGACAGTCTGGTAGAGGAGACAATTAAATAAGAGATTTCAAAACAGTAGGATATGCGCTATGATGCAGAAAATACAGGAGTGCTAAGGGGCTCATAACAGGAGCATGCATCCAATCTAGGGGTGGTGCAGTTCAGCCACAGCTTCCGAAGAAAGTAAGGCCTTGGCTAGGATGTAGGGGATGCTTAGGACATAGACAACAAAAGGCATGTGAGGCAAAAGGGTGCTGCAGCTAGTGCTAGGTCCCATGTTCTCCAGTAGTTCTTCTCCAAGTAACAGCTTTGAATGCTTGTTAACTTATACAAAATACAATTAGTATAAGTAAATGAGAATGTTGTTATAAATTTTAAAGGCTCCAAAGAAGAATTAGAAGTGGAAATTCACAGCATAGAAATGGTGGAGGAGGCCATTCAGCCACTAGCAATAGCCTGTTCCATTTTGGAGGGCATAAAACAGGTTCTGTCTGCCCTCTTCTCGGTGGGCAGCCACTATCTAAATGTCTGTAGTCCAGTATGGGCCTATGCAGGGCCATCATTGAAGTCTCAGGTTTATCACCACCTCTTGAGTCACAACTGTTGACTTGGTTGAACTCAGAGTTAACTAGATACAGTGTTGACTCAAGCCAGCCAAACTTACCCTGCCCTAACAAAGATAGAAACAATTACCCTGACCTCTGAGTTCCTGAAAAAGGGATATATGTACCCCATACATACTTCTGTCAGAGCACTTATAACCTTTTTTCAGTTTGTTTACATGCTTGTTTCCTATTAAATGAGTTCCTTAGGGGTGAGAGCTTTGTCTTGGTCATCTTTGGATCCACAGTAGTTTGTACAGGGCATGAAACACAGTAGGCATAAGCATTTATCAACTGAATCACTGAGGGAATCTATTCCAATATAGAAAACTACCTGCCAGGGGTATACCTGCCTACCTCAGTCAATTAAGCTTTCAACTCCTGAATTCAGCTCAGGTCAAGATCCCAGGGTTGTGAGATTGAGCCCGGAGTTGAGCCCGCATAGGGCTTCATACTAAGTGCTGAGAGTGGAGCCTGTTTAAGACTCTCTCTCTCTCTCTCTCTCTTTCTCTCTCTCTTTCTCTCTCTTTCGCTCTCTCCACTCCCCATCATGCTCCATGTGGGGAGCATGCCCCATATGCCCCATCATAAAAAAAAGAAAAAGAAAGAAATACCTGCCAGATAACAGTTCAAATCTTAGTCTCCTTGGTCTGTTTTATTCTACTTGGGCTGCTATAACACAGTACCATAGACTGAACGATTTAAACAACAGACATTTATTTTCTCATAGTTCTGAAGGATGGAAGTCCAACACGAGCAAGCTAGCATGATCAGGTTCTGATAAGGGCTTTCTTCCTAGCTCACCTATGGCCTCCTTTTTGCTGTGTCCTCACTTGGTAGGGAAATAGATGAGAATGGGGTGGAGGAAGGGGAGTATATAAGCTCTCTAGTGTCTTTTCTTATAAGGACATTAATCCTATCATGAGGGCCCCACCTTCATGATCTCATTTAAACATAATTACTTCCTTGGGGAGCCTGGGTGGCTCAGTCGGTTAAGCATCCGACTTTAGCTCAGGTCATGATCTCACAGTTCCTGGGTTCGAGCCTCGCATTGGGTTCTGTGCAGGCAGCTCAAAGCCTGGAGCCTGTTTCAGATTCTGTGTCTCCCTCTCTCTCTGCCCCTCCCCAACTCATGCTCTGTCTCTCTCTGTTTCAAAAATAAATAAAAACTATTAAAAAAAATAATTACTTCCAAAAGCTCCATCTCCACATAGCATCACATTGGGTGTTAGGGCTTCAACATATGAATCTGGGCAGAAAACAGTCCACAACAAAGGTGTCATACTTCCAAGGACACTGCTAAGAAATCATTGTATGTTCTTGTTCTACGATGTCCTTTTTTACTAGGGTCAGTGCAATCTATCTCTCCTCTGAGAGGTATTGTTTTTTAAGAGAAGCTGATTAGGTTTCAGATCTAAGTTATTTTACATTCTAATACTTTTCTCTTTGATATTAACTCCAGATAACCTTGATTGGACTTGGATGTCCTCAAAGTTTCTTTAGCCATACATTTGCAAATGATCTCATCCTTTATACTCTTTAAAAATATTATTTTTTCCTGATTAGAAAATAAGACATTTTGGGGGGTTCCTGGCTGGCTCAGGCAGTTAAGCATACGACTTCAGCTCAGGTCATGATCTCATGATTCTTGAGTTTGAGCCCCACGTCAGGCTCTGTGCTGACAGCTCAGAGCCTGGAGCCTGCTTCAGATTCTGTGTCTCCTTCTCTCTACTCCTCATCTGCTCATACTCTGTCTCTGTCTCTGTCTTTCTCTCTCTCTCAAAAATAAACATTAAAAAAAAAGAAAATAAGACATTTTCATTACAGAAAATTTATAACAAAAGTACAAGGAACAGAACTGAAACTACTCTTAATATAAACATCCATTTTATTTTTATTCTTTTACATTTTGCTCTTGCACTTCTAGGGAATGTCTTATTTTCAGAAAGATACATCATCCACTGAATTAGTTGGGTGAGAAGCAACAAATACTTTACATTTGACTTCTGTGAAGATATAGAGATTGAAGAACTTTTATTGTATATAATGAATACTGAGCCTTCCAAATAATCATGTGTTTACCTGCTAATATTCAAATATTCATTTTGCAATGAATAAAACAGACAAATCCTTACCTTCCTGGAGCTTGTGTTTTAAAATCCATCACTCAAACAAAATACACTTATAATATGCTTGCTATGTGCTAGGCATTATGCTCAATGCCAGGGGATACAGTGATGACCAAGATGTGCAAGAGCCCTGTCTAATGGAACTTGAATTCTACTGGGAAATTGACATGGTAGAAAATACAAATATGAATAACACGTGATACTTGCCTTCAAGAATCTTACAAGGAAATAAGACATGTACAAACAGCTGTAAAGCAAATGAATGATTCAAAAGTGTTCTCAGTGAGGAAAATTTCTTAAAGGAGGAAAAACTTGAATTGGACCTTCAATTTGAATTGATGGATTAATATTAGAGAGTAAGGTGAAGAAGCAAACAACTAGATAAAGGACAACCATATTAGAAAAGTTTTAAATATTAAAGCCTGGAATATAGTAAACAATTGGCACTTACGGTTGATAAAAAGAATTTGTGACAGATAGGAGTGGAAAAGAAAATTGGCAATTAAATCATACAAAATAGATCATTGACCACATTTCTATTTTAATTACTTGACCCCTTTTCTTTTTATTGCTTCCCAAAGTACAGAAGGTATTTATACAGAAGGTATTTTTAAGCTATTTTTATCATATCAAATTTAGTGAAAAATGCTGTCATTAATAAGGTTATCCTTGTTCCTCAAAAGTGTTCTGCTTTCTTTTTTTTCAATTTTAACATAATTTCAATGATTTTAATTCAGTAGTTGATAGAATTAGCAACCACTATTAGCATTATCAACCAACTTGAACTAATTGACATTTATAGAATTTGAACCTAGCTGAAAATAACAAAATACATATTCTTTTCAAATGTGCAAGGGACATGCATCAAAGTAGTCCATATTCTTTTCTATAATGTCTTTTTTTTTAATAAATAGTTTATTGTCAAATTAGTTTCCACATAACACCCAGTGCTCATCCCCACAAGTGCCCTCCTCCATGCCCATTCCCCCTCCCCCCCACATCCATCAGTCCTCAGTTTTTGTCAGCATTCAAGAGTCTCTCATGGTTTGCCTCTCTCCCTTTCCCCCACCATTTCCTCCCTTCTT